TTAATTTTTTTCGTATCGAAAAAATTCCTACAAAGGTTACCTATTTCATCGTATTTTTATATATTTCTTAAGTTGTTTTTAATTGGGCCCTTTTGAATGCCAGGCCTTCAAAATTCCCTCTTACCTTAACTGAACCACCCACTTCTTTTTTATCATTTCGCATTTAGAGCAAAATCGTGCATCTTCGTTTCTTTGTGTTTTCTTTTAAGAACCCCCCATTTTAAATTGTGTAATTAATTGGAAGATATTTTAAATATATATTTTGTTTATTCTTTGTTTGAAATAAAAATACGCTGCAGTAGTTGCCGATTATCGCGGCAAGAAGCAAAAATTTTTAATAATGTTTTCAAAGGTAAAAATAAATTTTAGTAAAAAATTGATTTGTGACTCATTGGCGGCGATTTAAAAAAAAAACAGTTGGTTATGATTAAAATTATTTTGGGAATAAATGGTAGAACTCGATTAATTTGGAGAAAAATATGTGTGTCTCGATTCCGATAATCAGTGTTCCACTATAAATTCACTCAAAGTAAAACATTTCTGAAAGCTTATTAAACATAATTTCATTCTGACATCGCTACGATAAATAATGATTTCTGATTTTGGTATGAAATGTAAGGTGAGTTAAAATTGATTTCATCGAGAATCTGATGATAAGTTCGTGGATCTATTTTTGAAGAATTTATTTGCTTATATCTTAACATTCAATCTATCAAATATTTCTCAAAAATTCCATCATAATTCGAAATGTCGGCATGAAATCATAAAAGCCCGCCTGGCATTAAAAATGTGTGATAATATCAATCATCATTTAAAAAATCTTCGTAGAAATCCAGGTGTCCGATCAAAGCAATAGTGATTTAATTTCATGAACATTTTTGATTTGGTTTTGTATATAAATAAGAATGAATCACTCTAGTTTTTCGAGTTCTTAGTAAATTTTGAATTAGGAAAATTAGAACCGAAAGTTATTTAAAAATATTATTACAATATTTTTTTTGAAAATACTTAAAAAAATAAATCAAAATATAAAAAAAATACAATACAGTGAATGATATATGGTGTCAATATTTTTTTTTAAATTATTTCTGAAAAATACATTACAAATATTTTTGGAGATGTGTTTTAAATGATGATTTTACAACAATATTTGATCTACAAAAATTGCGCAAAGAATCTTTAAATATATTTTTTGTCATAAAAATCATTTTTAAATATATTTGTTAAGTATATAAAAACAAAGCTTTAACGATTCTAAGAACCCCACATGAAAGTAATTTTTAAAAGCCTTAAAGCTAAAGGTACGACGAACATTTGCCACATCGAAGTACCGACTTCGGATTCCAAGTGTCTTGATCGTTCCGTTAGCCTAACTTAGGAAATAATTGATTTCATTCAAACATTGCACATCGCAATAAATATTATATACTTCACCACACAGTGGTACAGGGTATTATGTCTTTGCATATGTTTGTAACAGGCAAAAGGATACGAGATAGACACATGGTTCATTTTGAGAATATACATAGAATCTGAGTTGATTTATGCATGTCCGACTGCCCGTCCGTCCTGTATTCTTGTGAACAAAGTACAGGTTGCATTTATGATCCGATTTGAATGAAATTTAGCACAAATAACTTTTTTGAACAAACCCTATTGAAATTGGAAAATCAGTTCAGATTTAGACATAGTTCCCATATATATTTTCGTCCGATTTTACCTAATTGGTGCTCCAAACTCCCAATATTTATTCGATTAAGGAAAAATTTTGAACAGCGTACTGAATTAGGTCCAGTTTGATGTCTGTGAAGTTTCGTTGAAATCGTTGAAATCTGATTTAGATATAGCTCTCATATATAGTTTCGTCCGATTCATATCAAACTCCCAAGATTGGTTCGGTTGAGACAATATTTGGCACAGCGTACTGAATTAAGTCCAGTTTGATGTCTGTGTGAAGTTTTGTTGAAATCATTTCAGATTGAGATATAGCTTTCATATATTTTCGTTCAATTTCATGCAAATGGTACACCTAGGTGACTATGTTTGGTCGCTTTACATGATATTTTTTACATATATATTTCCATCCGATTTAATCTAAATGGTATACTAAATAACTTACGATTTTTACGATTGTACCAAATTTGAACTTCAACACCTTGTATTGTATTTTGTAAAATATATTCATATGTTCGTCTCAGTTCATGCATTTAATGCACCAAATAATAAAGGTTTCTCTTAGCGAGATTTAATTGTGTATGCCACAATTGCTCTATTAGGTTCAGATTTACATACGAGGGCAGTTCGGAAAGTTCTTAGTCTAGCACAAAAAGTGAGGTATAAACTGAAAAAAGTTAAGTGTTTTGGAAACTTCCATCTCTGTTATGAGCACATGTTATATTTTGTTTCGATCTGGCAAATCCTTCATATAAAAACAGGTGTTCAAAAAAGACGCATCCGCAATTTTTTACAATAGAAAAATTAGAAATGTGTGCTTTCATTGTAAAAAATATATGAAGGAGTTGCCAGAGTTTCTATACTGTTTTTGTTGTCTATTGTTGGCCTGTTGCATGCAGATTTTTCGTTGATTTATTTCGTTAAAATATTTTTTTCTCAAACACTCCAAAAGCTACCTCATCTGCTTCCGCAAGTACCTATGCTTCAGATCCATATAACAGCACGTGTAGTATCAGCGTCTTGTAGAGTGTGAGTTTGGTCTGGCGGGAGGTGGCCTTGCTTTTGAGTTGTTTGCTCTGACCATAGTAGCATCAGTTGGTCACTATCTTTCTCCGAATTTCAAAACTGATGTCATTCATTTTGTTTATGGTGGTACCAAGGTATATAAAATCTTTGACTACCTCGAAGCTGTAGTTCTCAAGTTCCACAGTTGGTCCGAGTCTACTGGACGTCTTGCGCATTGATACCATCAGCTTGGTCTTCTCGCCGTTTACTGCCAGACCCACTTTGGCAGACGTAGGCGAGTAACATGTGTTGTTTGGTGTACAGATTACCATTTCTGTTCGCTTTTGCCTTTCGTATGACTTTTTAAACAGGATGTTAAAAATATCAGACGATAAACTGTCACCTTGTCTGAACCCTCGTTCGGTATTGAAGGGCTCCGATAGGTCCATTCCGACTTTAACTGTTGATCTTGAACTGACCACATATCTCAACATATTTGTTGTGTTGTATCTAAATATTCCTTAGCAAGCTTTTTATATTCGTATATATAAACTGTTCAACAATGGATAATTTTTTGTCAATTATTTCTATAATTACTCCCGATGTATGTGGCTGTCGATCCTCAAAAGTTTATACCTTTTAAAAAATAAATAAAACCCAACTTTCGTACTTTGTCCATGAAAAAGCTTTTCAAAAGGTCAAATTTCCTTTAAAAATAAATTTGAAACATGTCATTAACCCTAATATTATTTGCTACAAATAATAAAAAAAACTAACAATAAAATTGAACATCTAAAGAAAATGCAATTTCCAAAATGTTGGCAGTTCAAACAGAACCAAACACACAGAATGCCATCAAAAACCCCAAACTCATATTTTTCACAGGACATAGTCATCTTCGGATGGATGTAATAAACATTTGTTTTATTGTTACGACATATAAACGGCGATCTTTACAGTAGGTGTTGACAAAATCATTGGCGTCCCTTCGAACAGAGTCTGGGAGCAAAGTGTGTGTGTGTGTTTGTCTCTGGAAGTCATACAATGAATTTCTATGAATGGAAAACATGCTCTGCTCTGCTGATCTGAATGACTTTCTGTTGTTGCTTTAACTTCCAATAAGAATTCAATTAAAAACTCTGGTGTTGAAACATTTACTCTTAACATTTGCTGTTTGTTTTTCTGCTGCTCCTCCTCCTTCTTTCATTTGCAGCATTCATCAATAGTACAACAGTGCCATCATCTGGCGTTTGTTGTGTGACCCGAACAGTCAATAATGTTATGAGTTACAGTGATGAGGAAATGTGAGCAGAAAAACAATAGTGTGGTAAAAATGAAAAAAAAAAAAAAATCTTAAACAAAAAAGTTTTTTTTAAAAAAATCAACGCTTAAGGTCCTTGTAAGGCCCTTGTAAGGCCCTTGCAAGTCAACGTTTAAGGTCTTTGAAAAATATTCTTTAAAAATGCCCACTTATGGCTCTTTTGGCCCTTGAAAAAATATTTTTTAAAAAACCTCGTTTATGGCTCTGTTGGCCCTTGAAAAAATATACTTTAAAAATTCTCGCTTATGGCTCAGTTGGCCCTTGAAAAAATATTTTTCAATTGCTTATGGCTCTGTTGGCCCTCTGTGGCGCCTTGGTTGGTCATTAAAAAATATTCTTTAAAAATCCCCCCTTGGTTGGTCCTTGAAAAAATACTCTTTAAAAATCCAAGCCTTAGTTGGTCTTTGAAAAATTATTCTTTAAAAAAACCACACCTTGGTTGGTCCTTGAAAAAATATTCTTTAAAAAATCCACGCCACAAAAGAATAAAACTTTTGTACCTCACTGTATGTATGGCATGTTTGTCCAGAGAGGCAGGGGTCATCCCCACACAATGAAATAAAAATTAATTTCTTCATTGATGACTTATGGAAATATGAATACGATGGAGGAGAATAGGCGCACACACACACACATGGTAGCACTTCATAGTTGTCCCCTGCCATTCTGGCACTTCTGTAGGAAAGAATACCAAAACTCCACAACAACAATAACAAAATGTATGTAAATGAAAAACTCAAAGACATTTTCTTTGCACTCCATAAAAATTTTTATTATTGCTTTTCTTTCTTTCTTCTTCTACAAAACAAAACAAGAAGCGAACATTGAATGGAATCTACTTCCGGTAAACAAAAACCAAATGCATATCTTCAAAAGGGACAAATTATTAATTTTTCACACTTTAGGTGTTGTTGTCGTTGCCGAGGAGTGCTTAACAGAAAACTTAAAAACAAATTCGTTAATATAAAAAAAATTATAACAACTCCAATAATTCCTCTCCTCCACTCCTTAAGATTGACGGGTAACAAAGAAGGCCACAGCCATCAGGAACAATGATGATCCGAAAGTGTAGGCGGAACCCTTGGCCCAGGGAATAACTGTCTCATTGGCTTGCAAGAAATTGCAACCGGCACCCTCACAGGTGTAGCAATCGCTGAGATCGGTGCACACACCATTAGCCTGAGCGGTCGAGAGACAGCCACGTTGGAATGATTGAGTGGTGTTCATGTCATCACGGCGAATGTAACATTTGTCACCCAATTTATATGTGGGACAGATTGTGGGACGTGCAGCAATATCCAAAGAGCAAGTGCTGTTCAAATTGCCCGAACATTGGATACAGCTGAGACGATATTGTGGGAAGACGGCACCATTGCAGCCCTCCATGAAACTGCAGGTCATACATTCCATATTGTTGTTGCAGCTGGCCAAGGTGGCATTATCCAATTCGCTGGCACAGCCACGAATGGTGACACCATCTGAAAGGGTAGGAGGAAAAATGGGGAGGGGGTTACAAATAATTCCTTGTTGGGAGCTGGTGTGAAGTGACTTACCGACAACGCGTACATAGCAGGTGGAACTGGTATTGGCACATTGCTTGGCCAAGAAATTTTCAGGTTGGGTGGCACATTTGGGATCCGTCGAGGAGTTACATTGTACACAGGAGTCTGAAAGGAAAGGAAAATTGGGATTAATACATATTTAAAATTTAGGGTTCTTATAGTCCTTTCATGTAGCCCTCTAAAATATTCTTTGAAAAGTTTTTTGTTTTTTGCAAAATAGTCAGGCTGAATCCTTGTTGTTTGTGGTTTTTTTTATATAGAACAACTATTTATTAGTGGGGAATGTATAGCATTGTTCGCCAAAGGGGTGTGGTAGGGAAGACATAGTTTCGTATCACGCCATTGATCTTCATCAGTTCCCTTAGTTTTTTGTTGGGATATTTTTCCCAGAAGCTATTTATTAGTCTATAAAAGTTCAAAAATCTAAGGTCCTTGAAAAAATATATTCTTTAAAAATCCAAGCCTATTGACCAGCTGGTCTTTAAACAAATATTCTTTAAAAATCCAAGCCTATTGACCAGCTGGTCTTTAAACAAATATTCTTTAAAAATCCAAGCCTATTGACCTGCTGGTCTTTAAACAAATATTCTTTAAAAATCCACGCCTGTGATAGGACCCTGAAAATTTATTCTTTAAAAATCCACGCCTGCGATAAAAAAATATTAAAAATATCCACGCCTGTGGTAGGACCCTGAAAAAATGTTCTTTAAAAATCCACGCCTGTGATAGGACCCTGAAAAATATTCTTTTAAAATCCACGCCTGTGATAAAAATATTTTTTAAAAATATTAAAAATATCCACGCCTGTGATAGGACCCTGAAAAAATGTTCTTTAAAAATGTCCACGCCTGTGATAGGACCCTGAAAAAATGTTCTTTAAAAATATAAAAAATATCCACGCCTGTGATAGGACCCTGAAAAAATGTTCTTTAAAAATATAAAAAATATCCACGCCTGTGATAGGACCCTGAAAAAATGTTCTTTAAAAATATCCACGCCTGTGATAGGACCCTGAAAAATGTTCTTTAAAAATATCCACGCCTGTGATAGGACCCTGAAAAAATGTTCTTTAAAAGTATTAAAAATATCCACGCCTGTGATAGGACCCTGAAAAAATGTTCTTTAAAAATATCCACGCCTGTGATAGGACCCTGAAAAAATGTTCTTTAAAAATATTAAAAATATCCACGCCTGTGATAGGACCCTGAAAAAATGTTCTTTAAAAATATTAAAAATATCCACGCCTGTGATAGGACCCTGAAAAAATGTTGTTTAAAAATATCCACGCCTGTGATAGGACCCTGAAAAAATGTTCTTTAAAAATATCCACGCCTGTGATAGGACCCTGAAAAATGTTCTTTAAAAATATCCACGCCTGTGATAGGACCCTGAAAAAATGTTCTTTAAAAGTATTAAAAATATCCACGCCTGTGATAGGACCCTGAAAAAATGTTCTTTAAAAATATCCACGCCTGTGATAGGACCCTGAAAAAATGTTCTTTAAAAATATTAAAAATATCCACGCCTGTGATAGGACCCTGAAAAAATGTTCTTTAAAAATATCCACGCCTGTGATAGGACCCTGAAAAAATGTTCTTTAAAAATATTAAAAATATCCACGCCTGTGATAGGACCCTGAAAAAATGTTATTTAAAAATATCCACGCCTGTGATAGGACCCTGAAAAAATGTTCTTTAAAAATATTAAAAATATCCACGCCTGTGATAGGACCCTGAAAAAATGTTCTTTAAAAACATTAAAAATATCCACGCCTGTGATAGGACCCTGAAAAAATGTTCTTTAAAAATATTAAAAATATCCACGCCTGTGATAGGACCCTGAAAAAATGTTCTTTAAAAATATCCACGCCTGTGATAGGACCCTGAAAAAATGTTCTTTAAAAATATTAAAAATTTCCACGCCTGTGGTAGGACCCTGAAAAAATGTTCTTTAAAAATCCACGCCTGTGATAGGACCCTGAAAATTTATTCTTTTAAAATCCACGCCTGCGATAAAAAATATTAAAAATTTCCACGCCTGTGGTAGGACCCTGAAAAAATGTTCTTTAAAAATCCACGCCTGTGATAGGACCCTGAAAAATATTCTTTAAAAAATCCACGCCTGTAAAAGACCCTGAAACATATTCTTTAAAAAATCCACGCCTGTAAAAGACCCTGAAAAAAATCTACGCCCTTAAAAAACCCTGAAAAATATTCTTTAAAAAATCTACGCCTGTAAAAGACCCTTGAAAAAATATTCTTTAAAAAATCTACGCCTGTAAAAGACCCTTGAAAAAATATTCTTTAAAAAATCCACGCCTGTGATAGACCTTGAAAACATATTCTTTAAAAAAATCCAATCTACGCTAGGAATAAGTAAACGACTTTGGACTAAACGATTAATCGACATTTTGTATTGAAAAGTCAAAGTCAACTTTTGATATTTGAGGAAATCGCAAAGTCGTGATCGTCTTTCGATTTACATTATAAATACTTGGTTTATTACCTCAAAGCCCAAATTGCCCAAAAGTTTCACATTCCAGAAATTTATTTTATCTTTTGACAAAAATTCATATAAAAAATCAAATTTTTAGTCCACTGTGCATCGGTCGGTAAAATTCAAAAAATCGATTTTGAATAGGTTTGACAAAATCGAAAGATCGAAGTCGACTTTTTAGGCAACAATCTTTTAAAGGCAAAAATCGATAAGTCTAAAAATCGACTTTTTGGTCGGAAGCTCGAAAAGTCGACTTTTGCGCTCGACTACGTATCCCTAATCCACGCCTGTGAAAGATTAATAGAGTATGTGAGCTGTGATAGACCTTGAGAAAATATTCAGGGATAGCCCTTGAATACATATTTTTTATAAATCTACGTCTGTTGCTATGTTGTTCTTTGAAAACTATTCTTTAAAAATCTACGTCTAGGACAGGGATAGTCCTTGAAAAAATAAGCTTTTAAAAAATCTTCAGGTCGTCATTATTATTTTTGTCTAAGAAATTTAATATTTTTTATAAGTATTCTAAATCAGAAATCTGAACACATTTCTACCTAAAAAATAGAATTTCCATAGCTACTAAGAACACCATTTAGCCTTGTATATTTGTTTTTCATCCAATAACAAAATTATTTAAACTGTCTTTGCAGATAAGCAGGACAGCAGAGGGAGAACATTTAATCTTATCTGAAATTGATCGGACCAAAGAAAAAACAAATATATATTGATAACACATTTCAATAGTTGACATCATTTCAATTGCATAGACTCGTCGTAGATATGTACAGAAACGAATCTATGACTATGTAAAGGTGTTGGTATTACGGTTAGATAGTAAGATATAGTAAATAAACTCATATAGCAATAAATAAATACATAAATAAAAAATAAGCAACAGATATCGGCGCAATTTCTAGAGTCAATTTGTGTGTGTGTGTGTTTCTAAGGCAAAGTATAGTTATCGTAGCTAAGTTAAACATAATTTATATAACCATTCCAATTGGAATGTTTTTTTTTCAGTATTAGTCATAAACGTATTTTTATCTATTTGTATTAGTTTATCTAATGTTTATATTGTTAGTAGAGGGGAATTATGAATCATATGTGCAATATATGTAGGGTCTATGAGGTCAAAGAAAATTTTTCGATTTTCACAATTCAAACCGATTACTCTTTCAGGGTTTTTGGAATAACATATTTGCTATGATATGTGAACACGAACTGCAGCATACACTGGCATAAAGCATAAAACAACAGCGAAAGCGAATTTTCAGAATGTTTGCCAAACAAAAAATGTCCCGTCCTATTTATGATATTATGCGGTATCTAGGCGCATTTTCCTCCGGAAGTGGTTTAGGCCGAATAATCGAAACCAAACAGCAACCATCGAGCTGCTGAGTCAATTAAATATGCATATCGGATATGCATCCTGGGATATTTTCCAAAGGGAGTGATTGTAATTTGGATTTTCAATTCGTAGAAGGCTTTTCAGGAAAGCAATGTTCAGGATTCACTATACATTTGTATAGTCCTACTTTTAAAGTTGTCTAGTCCTACTTTGAGGGTTTTTGTAGTATTGCCCAACCACATTTCTTGTTTGCCAACCTTTTGAGCGCCACTTATTTTCATTGTTATGTTTACAGGTACGTCAAGTTTAGCCTCTCTTCAAGCTTGAAGGGGGGCTAATTATATAGTCGTACTTTTAAATTTGTCTAGTCCTACTTTGAGGATTTTTTAAGAATTGTCCAATCAAAGTGCTTGTTTGTAGTGCTCGTTTGGTAGGTCAAGCTTGAAGAGATGCTATATCGGTACACGTGTAGGAACAGAAAGATGTTTAGAAAATTTCTTGTCAAAAATTGTAGAGCCAATAAAAATGGACACATTTTTTTTAAACAAAAAATATTATATTCTGATATTTTAAATCCTGATTGTCTCTTCAGACACCCTCCCAAGATGTTTAGAAAATTATTTTCAGCCAACATTAGAAAAAATGTTCCCTACCAAAATCATCAATATTGGTCCCCTATATAACGGCGACGTCCCCTTTATTTTAATGATTGTTCCTAATCAGTGGATTTAATGTTGCATTGGTTTCACAAAAATTTTCTCTTTTGAATTCCTTTTTTTATAAAAAATTTTATATCCCAGTGTTCATTTTTCAATATTTCCTCAGAGAAAAATACTGAACTTTGTTCTCTATCTGATGATAATTATTATTTTTTTTTTCTATTTTTATGATAAGATTTTAATATCACACACTAAATTATTGTCCACTTAATATTTTATGATATGACAGTAATGACAAAAAATCCAAATTATTGTTCGACTTTTAAAATTAGTAGAGTTTCCACATATGGGCATACAACATCTCTATGTAGTCCTTCTTCAATTCCACAAATTTGAATTAAAACAATGTACTTCACAACAACACTTCAGTTTTGAGTCCCATCACTTTAATTATTTATTTTATTTTTTCAAAATCGTATCATTACCGGATTGGGCATAAGCCAAATACACAACGAAGACAATTCCCACAGATAATAAGAAACGCATTTTGATTTTTTTATTTCAATATTTGTTTTTGTTTGATGGTTCGTTTTCAGGTTAATCGACAACTGATTTGACAAATTTTGCTGCACTTGTTGTTATTCAACGCAAATTCGGAAGTTAACTGAAATTCCAGTGACAATGTTCGACTTTTCTACCATTCAATTGACGATCGTTAAAATACGACAAACGCACACACAAAAAGTATGGCACTAATCTTATCTAAATTATGTTAGATAAGGGGATAGACGTATGGACGGACGGACGGGCGAAGTTACGAACCAACGCGGAGGCAAACAGTGTTTTCAAACGATTGAAGTTAGTTACGTAGAAAGATAGCGCGGTGTTGGTGGCAGGTGAACAAACCTGAAATAAATTTGATATACGAATTACAAATAGATATATGACTCAGATGTTTTGTAAACAAAACAGGGGAGGGGGTGTTGAGATTAATCATCGATCAAAACTTTATGTTATTTAAGTATATATTTATATAAATCAAAAAATTCATTGCATATAGCGGGATGCAATCGATTTACAAAAAAAAATGTTTTTTCAAAGACCATCTCAGTCTAAGGCGTGGATTTTTAAAGAATATTTTTTCAAAGACCATCTCAGCCTAAGGCGTGGATTTTTAAAAGAATATTTTTTCAAAGACCTTCTCTGCCTTAGGCGTGGATTTTTAAAAGAATATTTTTTCAAAGACCATATAAGCCTAAGCCGTGGATTTTTAAAGAATTTTTTTTTTCAAAGATCATCTCTGCCTTAGGCGTGGATTTTTAAAGACATTTTATTTTCAAAGACCATCTCTGCCTTAGGCGTGAATTTAAAAAAAAAAAAATTTTAAAGACATTTTATTTTCAAAGACCATCTCTGCCTTAGGCGTGAATTTTTATTTTCAAAGACCATCTCTGCCTTAGGCGTGGATTTTTAAAGACATTTTATTTTCAAAGACCATCTCTGCCTTAGGCGTGGATTTTTAAAGACATTTTATTTTCAAAGACCATCTCTGCCTTAGGCGTGGATTTTTAAAGACATTTTATTTTCAAAGACCATCTCGGATTTTTAAAGACATTTTATTTTCAAAGACCATCTCTGCCTTAGGCTTGAATTTTTAAAGAAATTTTTTTTAAAGACATTTTATTTTCAAAGACCATCTCTGCCTTAGGCGTGGATTTTTAAAGATTTTTTTTTTCAAAGACCATCTCTGCCTTAGGCGTGGATTTTTAAAGAAATTTTTTTCAAAGACCATATAAGCCTAAGGCGTGGATTTTTAAAGAAATTTTTTTCAAAGACCATATAAGCCTAAGGCGTGGATTTTTAAAGAATTTTTTTTTCAAAGACCATATACGCCTAAGGCGTGGATTTTTAAAGAATTTTTTTTCAAAGACCATATAAGCCTAAGGCGTGGATTTTTAAAGAATTTTTTTTCAAAGACCATATAAGCCTAAGGCGTGAATTTTTAAAGAAATTTTTTTCAAAGACAATATAAGCCTAAGGCGTGGATTTTTAAAGAAATTTTTTTCAAAGACCATATAAGCCTAAGGCGTGGATTTTTAAAGAAATTTTTTTCAAAGACCATATAAAGAAATTTTTTTCAAAGGCGTGGATTTTTAAAGAAATTTTTTTCAAAGACCATATAAGCCTAAGGCGTGGATTTTTAAAGAAATTTTTTTCAAAGACCATATAAGCCTAAGGCGTGGATTTTTAAAGAAATTTTTTTCAAGGACCAAAATATATAGAAGCGTGGATTTTTAAAAAATTTTTTTTCAAGGACCAAAGTGGAGATAAGCGTGGATTTTTAAAGAAATTTTTTTCAAGGCGTGGATTTTTAAAGAAATTTTTTTCAAAGACCATATAAGCCTAAGGCGTGGATTTTTAAAGAAATTTTTTTCAAAGACCATATAAGCCTAAGGCGTGGATTTTTAAAGAAATTTTTTTCAAAGACCATATAAGCCTAAGGCGTGGATTTTTAAAGAAATTTTTTTCAAAGACCATATAAGCCTAAGGCGTGGATTTTTAAAGAAATTTTTTTCAAAGACCATATAAGCCTAAGGCGTGGATTTTTTAAAGAAATTTTTTTCAAAGACCATATAAGCCTAAGGCGTGGATTTTTAAAGAAATTTTTTTCAAAGACCATATAAGCCTAAGGCGTGGATTTTTAAAGAAATTTTTTTCAAAGACCATATAAGCCTAAGGCGTGGATTTTTAAAGAAATTTTTTTCAAAGACCATATAAGCCTAAGGCGTGGATTTTTAAAGAAATTTTTTTCAAAGACCATATAAGCCTTTTTCAGGCGTGGATTTTTAAAGAAATTTTTTTCAAAGACCATATAAGCCTAAGGCGTGGATTTTTAAAGAAATTTTTTTCAAAGACCATATAAGCCTAAGGCGTGGATTTTTAAAAGAATATTTTTTCAAAGACCATATAAGCCTAAGGCGTGGATTTTTAAAGAAATTTTTTTCAAAGACCATATAAGCCTAAGGCGTGGATTTTTAAAGAATTTTTTTTCAAAGACCATATAAGCCTAAGGCGTGGATTTTTAAAGAAATTTTTTTCAAAGACCATATAAGCCTAAGGCGTGGATTTTTAAAGAAATTTTTTTCAAAGACCATATAAGCCTAAGGCGTGGATTTTTAAAGAAATTTTTTTCAAAGACCATATAAGCCTAAGGCGTGGATTTTTTTTTAAAGAAATTTTTTTCAAAGACCATATAAGCCTAAGGCGTGGATTTTTAAAGAAATTTTTTTCAAAGACCAAAGAAATTTTTTTCATAAGCCTAAGGCGTGGATTTTTAAAGAAATTTTTTTCAAAGACCATATAAGCCTAAGGCGTGGATTTTTAAAGAAATTTTTTTCAAAGACCATATAAGCCTAAGGCGTGGATTTTTAAAGAAATTTTTTTCAAAGACCATATAAGCCTAAGGCGTGGATTTTTAAAGAAATTTTTTTCAAAGACCATATAAGCCTAAGGCGTGGATTTTTAAAGAAATTTTTTTCAAAGACCATATAAGCCTAAGGCGTGGATTTTTAAAGAAATTTTTTTTTCAAAGACCTTCCTTAATTTTTAAAGAAATTTTTTTCAAAGAACATTTAAATCTCAAATTTTTTTTCCATTTCGACTTTTGTATTGAAACACTGTTTAGAACCATTGCAGCATATTTATGCTGGCGGTTTCTTGTGATGGAATTTAAATAGGAACACAATTCAAATTTGTAGTTCATTGTTTTCCAATTAGGTGAGTCTGCTCGATGTCACCATCGTGAGATTTAATCTCTTATTCAGAAAAACAAATTTAACAGAGGACACATGTTAGTGAATAATCACAAATACAAATATCGACTTAAATATAATTTGATTTTGGAAATTCTTTGCAAACATACACGAACATATTTGAAAAATGTAGGCTACCAATATTTGCAAAAGGTATTTTGTCATAGAATAAATATTTGCAGGAGCTCTAAATTTCAAAAACGCTTAAAAATTGATAAATTGGAACATCAATTTAATAAAAATATTGAAACAAAGCATTGTAGGCCTTGATTTCCACTTTCCTCGAAACAGTTGCCGTAATTTTTAAATTAAGAAAAATTCTATCATATTTTTTCATTTGAATTGGTATGTCATGAATAGCATAATAATTACATTAAAAAATATTCGTTAGTGAGTGCAAATATTTTATTCACAACTATTATGTGTCGCTCACCCACAACCACCCATAAGAAGACGTCAATAAATTCACAGTTAGTGTTTCATTTTATATATCAAAACAAAACTCAGTAATTTTAAATAACGTTCCAATTTTTCGTTTCAAAAGTTTTACCAAACCTGTTCTGAACATGTCAGGTTTCATACAAATTTCCATACATTCAATTTGAGACGCCTGTTAACCACCCTTGTAATGGGGGCTAGGAAAATTTAAGAACACGTCATGATCGAATCATCAAGAAAAATTGTCTTACGATAAAAATTTGTCATTTAAATTTATATTTCATTAATATCGTTATTAATAGCATTATTACAAAATATACAAAAATATTCGTTCGAGGAAACCTTTATTCAGTGCAAATATTTCGAAATTTTATAACCTTTATTATCGTTTGAAATACGATTTCATTGTAAAAAATATAAAAAAAAACATGAATTAGTCATTATGTTGACTTTGTATCTATCATGCAAAAATATCAAAGGCTGGCCATTGTTTGATGGTAGGTCGCGTTTGGCATTGGGTTTCATATTTCATAATATCTATAAAGCTTTCTTCTAATATCTTTAAATAAATGGTGATGAATTGTCGTATTTGAGGGAAATGGGTTTGAAACCTTACCCATTTCCTGAAAATATTATATGTGTATATACATTGTTAAGCTCTCTGTAATTCCCTAATCAGCGGTGTCATTTATTTTTAATCGATAGAATTGTGGAATTGAAGAATGTACCAAAATTTCTGATAAGATACAACAACAACTGTAAATAGTGTTGGAATTTTTGTTGTTTGTTGTCATACCTTTGTCACAGTAGTTCGAAAAAAATTAATCATTAGATTAAACTTTTTCCCTATAGTCATTTTATTAATTCAAATAATTAATATTAAATAACATTGATTTAATGACATTAGACTAAAACTAAACAAAACGACATAAAGGATCTCCATTCTCGATGTCAAGATTTTTATAGTGAAATTTTTAAAATCTAGTTGACTTAAAATTGATAAATAACTTCTTTATTTATATAAAGGACCACGATCTGCAAATCTGCACTTGGAATGTGCCCACGTTGTACAGAACAGGGGCAGTGTTCGCTTTGGCGGATATACTCAAGAAGTACAAAGCCGATATTATTGCCTTACAGGAAATGCGATGGAAATCAGATCAATCAGACGATTACGCCCTGTATTATATCTGCCATGAAACGAGACATGAATTTGGCTGCGGATTTATGGTTAACAGGAGAATAAAAGACCTTGTCTCCAGATTTACTCCAGTAGATGAGCGAATTGCTATAATCCGTATAAAAGCGAAGTTCTTTTACATCAGTCTAATTTGCGTCCATGCTCCGACCGAAGAAAAAGATGAACAGACCAAAGACATATTTTACGAGCGCCTAGAAACAGCATATGACCGTTGCCCTGGCCATGACATTAACATTCTGCTAGGAGATTTTAATGCAAAAATCGGAAGGGAAAATATCTTTGGCCTTACCGTCGGAAAATTCAGCCTTCATGAAGAAACATCCGACAACGGCATGAGGTTGATTGACTTCGCGGCAGCAAAAAACATGGTAGTTAGCACCAGATTCAAGCATCTCGATATACACAAGGCCACCTGGATTTCTCCTGATAAAGTAACGAGAAATCAAATTGATCATGTTGTGATAGACGGAAGGCATTCATCCAGTGTTTTAGACGTCCGATCGATCCGAGGAGCGAATATCGATTCGGACCATTACCTTGTGGCTGCCAAAGTACGCACCCGTCTTAATGTTGCAGCAAAGGTGCGATCTAATACAACACGAAAACTCGACGTCGAAAAGCTGCAAACACAACAGGTAGCCGAGGCCTACTCCGCTCAACTTACCCATCTGCTTGAAGAAAGCACTTCTTGTCCCGATAATAGTATAGAAGCACAATGGCAAAGAACAAACTGCAGCAAAAAGAACAATTGGGTACCAAAAACCACCACCAAGAAACCCATGGTACGATCAGGAGTGTCGTAATGCTACTGATGTGAAAAACTATAGGGCAACCCTGCAGCAAGCAACACGTAACGTGATGGAGAATTATCGGGAGAAAAGGAGAGATGAGAAACGTGTTTTCAGAAAAAAGAAGAAAGAACAAGAAAAACGTGAGCGTGAGCAAATCGAGATGTACAGGAGTCACAGAATGAAGTCCGGAAATTTTACCAACGAGTAAAACACCAAACCGAAGGCTTTGGTGCAGGCACATCCTCCTGTAGAGATGAAGAGGGAAACCTGGTGACAGATACAGACAGCGTGTTGAGGATCTGGAAGGTGCATTTCTAAAAGCTACTAGTATCAAATAGTGGCGAACCAATAAGAGATGATGGTATAGAGTGTATACCACCTAGCCAAGATGAGGTCATAAAAGCAATTAATCGGCTCAAGAACAACAAAGCAGCAGGAGCCGATGGGTTACCACCCGAACTATTCAAGACTGGTGGCCAGATGCTGGTCAGGAGTATGCACCAGCTGATTAACACAATTTGGCTAGATGAATGCATGCCCAATGATTGGAACCTCAGCATCCTGTGTCCCGTGCACAAAAAAGGAGACAAGACGATATGTGCCAACTATAGAGGAATAAGTCTCCTTCCCATCGCATATAAAGTTCTATCCAGTGTGCTGTGTGAATGATTGAAGCCAATGGTCAATGACATCATCGGACCATACCAATGTGGCTACAGACCTGGCAAATCCACCATTGACCAGATTTTCACTCTGCGCCATATCCTGGAAAAGACCCACGAAAAACACATCGACACATACAACCTATTTGTCGACTATAAAGCCGCATTCGACAGCCCTATCCGTTCAGAGGTGTTTAAAGCCATGTCTGCGTTCGGCATTCCTACAAAATTAATACGGCTATGCAGGATAACTTTAAGTGGCACAAGGTCAGCCGTTAAAGTAGGAAAGGACCTATCGGAGCTCTTCAATACCGAACGAGGATTCAGAAAAGGTGACAGTTTGTCGTGTGATCTTTTTAACATCCTACTGGAAAAGGTCATACGAGACGCAAAGGTGAACAGAAATGGCACCCTGTACACCAAACAACATCAGTTACTCGCCTACGCCGATGACATCGATATAATGGGTCGAACATTGCGAGCGGTAACAACCACCTTTGAACAAATTGAAAAGGAATCTGCCAAAGTGGGTATCAACGCGCAAGATATCCAGTAGACTCGGACCAACTGTGGAACTTGAGAACTACAGCTTCGAGGTAGTTAAAGGCTTTATATACCTTGGTACCGCCATAAATAAAACGAATAATATCAGTTTGAAATTCGGAGAAGGATTGTGATGGCCAACAGATTCTACTATGGTCTAAGTAAGCAGTTTAGAAACAAGGCCACCTCTCGCTATTACTCTCGCTGATACTACCCGTGCTATTATATGGATCAGAAGCATGGGTACTTGCGCAAGCAGATGAGGCAGCGCTTGGGGTGTTTGAGAGAAAAATTCTCCGAAAGATCTACGGGCCGATCTCCCTCGACGGTGAATATCGGCGTCGAATGAACTACGAGCTCTACAATTTATACGCGGACATCGACATAGTCAGTCGTATTGAGCTGCAGCGACTACGGTGGCTAGGCCATGTTGTGCGGATGAATGAAGATGACCAGGTCAAAAGGCATATAAAAATGAGCCTACTGATGGTTCCCGTAGAAGGGGAAGACCACGAATTAGATTGAAATACCAAGTAGAAAACAACATCTTGGAACGTGGACTTCCAAATTGGTGGACTTGCGCACAAGACCGGCGCGCTTAGAAATCTTTTTTAAGCTCGGCTTATGGAACAACCGTTCTCTAACAAGCCAGCTAAGTAAGTAACTTCTTTATTTTTTATTTTGATTTGTTGTCTTAAAAGAAGATTTACCAAAAACAAATGCCTTTAATGTTTAATTTTTATTTGCAGATGTTTCACTGAAACTTCAGAACAGAAATATGAGATTAAGACGCCTTCAAATGAACAACCAGCTAAATATATGAAAACGTAAAGTCATCGACAAGGCCAAGGGAAGGTAATCTGGCGAGAAATTGGATTATCACAATAAAACATCTGGTCAAAATGAAACAAAACGTCAACTACAGAAGAAGGCGACATTAAAGCTAACAGTTAGTGTTTCATTTTATTTATCAAAACTAAATTTAGTAATATTCAATACCGTTTCAATTTTTCGTTTCGTTTTAATTCTACCGAAATCCACCGGCGGAAGCATTACATTCAATTTGAGACAACATTACTGAAAATGCCTGTTAACCACCATAGTAAAGGGACGAGAAAATGAACACATCATCATCGACATAGGTCAAGAGAAGACGACGAGAGGAGAAGCAGCGTTTTCAGAAGGGAAACGTGAAAAAGAATTTGCACCCACCTCCTCTCTGAATGAACACCATATTAATTTGCAAAATTGAAACGAATACTTTGATGTTGTCTATCGAATTATTTTTCAACGAATTTATTTATTATAATTATTTATCGAATTATTTTTCATCCACAAAGGTAAATTTACTCCTGATTAAGCTAAGATAACATTCCATTTAGCAACCATCTCACTACTGGAAATACAGTTTGGAAACTATCCTAAAGAAAATTGATAAGAAGGGCTAAATATGACACTTGACCGATGCTACTTCTACAAAGTTTGCCAAACTAAATAAATAAAAAAAATAATCCTCCGACCTCTACGCTTATCACAACCGACTTTAACATAACCAAAGTCCAAATTGGTACTACCTGTTTTTCCAGACCAACCATAGCTTTGATCTTATTAATTATATCTTAGAATTGGCAAAATTTTCTTCATGGTAGCATCAATATTCGATCAAGGTTGCGAATATTATCAGCCTTAAGGGCTTGTTGTTACTCAGGTTCACTTGGACTACACAACACTTGACAAAGCCAAAAAGTATCAGTCGGTGTTGTCGATAGATATATGCCCTCAGCCTGTCGAGTTGACCATTTTTACAGAGGTTCTAGATGATGTTGCTCCATAGAACAATATGCAAAGTTTGGATGAAATCGGTTACTCCCTTCGAGAGATATAGTGCCACTAGACAGACGGACGGACATTTGTAATGTGCCGTAAGTAACGATAAGGCTGAATGTATAATCAATAATAAATCAAATAATAAACAAGTAAAAAATTATCATGCGGTATTGCCAACAGAAATATACCCTCAGCCTATGGTAAAGAGGGTTGTGCAAAGATTGGTTCAAATCGGAAATTCCATTCGATTTAAATCCAATAAATATATTGAAAATGTTGACCATTTGTCCCATCTTCAGACTTGATTTAGGATTGGGAAACACAACATAAAATTATCTAAAATGGATTTGGTTCAAAGAAACATTAGCCATCGACTTGAAAGCAAAAAGTGACGCCCTATCCCCTACATTTCATTTGAGCATTTGGATTTAGCTTAAATTATTTACAAGTCTGTAAATGAGCTCCATTGATCCAATAATTTAATGTTATAAAATGAAATCAATAAAGTATAATTTTTGTTCCACACATCTTCTTCATTTCAGAAAATTGAGATATTTGAAATCTTGCTAACCTCTAACTAAGCCCACTGAATATCCGATTTTGAGCAAATATTGCACACTTTAAACTGTATAATTATCGTAGATTTAGTGCAAATATAGCCTATATCAACTGTTTGATGGTCACAGTTTTAAAAAAAATAATAAACTATTCTCTTCTCGTTAAGAAATAACGTAGCCAACATTAATAATTTTGAAGACAAAAAAATACTATAGAATTTTTTCTTAAAATTAACTGAATTATTCAATTTTTCAGTTCCATCGTTTTTTTCTATCGGCTTTACGAATCCCTAACATTATCAGCTGATTTTCACATTTCACATCACGTCTCTTCCTAAACAAATATCGCAGTTTTACATTACACTCATTCGTAAACATCTCCTTAAAGTGGACATTTTATTTTGTGTTAATGATTTATCTGCCATTCTCAGCCGTCTCCACCGTATTCGTATCATTTGGAACGTAAATCAATTGGTTCGGCATAACCAGACCAACCAATTTTACGATAGTGTGGAAGTGCAAAGTTTGCAAATTAAATGTTTAAATATTTAAAATAAAAAATAATAATGCAATTATTTATTTGTATAAGTGATTATTGGGAAAAGCGGACGTATTACCAATTACAGCCCGAAGAGAACAACAACAAATCATCAAATGTGGAAATAAATGTTTTAACAAAAAATGACATTAGGAAGCAAATAACAACAACTGCCTTAGCAGAACAACGATGTAGGACATTGAGGAGATGCCGCATCGATATAGATGGCATAGCGTTCTATTATTTGCTCAAAGAACTACTTCATTTTAAGGAATATCGTAGAATCTTGTGTTGCCATCCAGCTTTAAAAGATACTCAATTGTTGTGGCTGCAAATTGTACCACCGGCCAAGGAGATTATTGACTATCGGTGGTAGGTTGAAGAAAATTTGAATGTTATTTATAAGGAAATAAGTTATTTATTTAGTCTATTTTCATCTTGCATAGGAACCGCATGCTGGCCCGCAAATTATGGGAGAAAATCGAAACAGATTATCTAATGTCATGGCTATCCACATTGGGTGGCGGCTATTCAGCATTGGGTGAACAATTTTCTGAATGTGTAAGTACAAATGGTTTGTATGTTTAAAGTACATAATCGACTCGATTTCAAACCTCAATTCCATAGCGTATACATCGCGTTAATCCTTTCCTTTTTTTTCACTACTCCAGTAGATTATATTTGACGTTTACGCTATGAAATTGACATCTGGGATAGCGTGAATTTCAATTTATTTTTGCATGAATGGGAACCTAGCCACAAGGTTAAGATCGGTTCCAAAAACCACAATGCATCAACTACTCCAAAATCATAAACCCAACAATAGATTTATCTTATCATAGAATCTTAAAAAAAGCTTTAATAAATAATTAGCATGCATAAACATGATTAATAATTTCGTAAATTAAAATCACTTTTAAGCCTTTTTAGAGTCCGGTCGCGGATTGTTTTGAAAAATTTACCATACGTAATCCTTACTAGGACCCTTGCCATGCTTTATATTATCGAAGAAATCCGTATATCCTGAGAAATGAGCCTCACCTAAATTTAACTTGGTCCATACTCATTAATATTATACATTGACTTACATCCTTATCTAAAAAATTTTCTTTCTTTTTTTTAATTATTGTAGGCTCAAGTAGCTGGAAAAATCTCCCGGAAACAGCTACGCATCGGCATCCAATTGGGTGACCCATTCCTGCAATCACGTTGTTTACTCTACTACAGCATATCTTTAATACAAATTGGACGGTTACGAACTGCCAAATATATAATACGTTCCCAGTATGCCTTTGCCCGGGCCAATGAGGAAATGGATAGCCGTTTGGTAAAAATGTGTAAAGGCATTTGGCTGAGATTACAATATGAATATGGTCTGCGAATGAAAAAGAAAGGAAGAGCAATTGCATAGTGATGGAATTAATTTTTAGAGGACTTCAAAGACAACAACGCCACATATACGAGACGTGTAAACAATTTTCATTCTACAAAGGCGATATTTAGTGCTTTTGGATGCAAACGGCTTAAAACTCAGGGCTGTAAAATCATTGAGTACTTTGTTTGGATATTTATGTATGTTATATATTCCCCTTTTAAAAATGGCAAACATCAACTAAATTAAAGAAAATATATTCTTATGAAAAAGACATAAAAACTGAAGATTACAAATTTCCGGTAACAAAGACCCATGGAGCGAATGGAGCCATAAATAATGCTTTATTAATTTACTTATTTTATTAATGAATGCATTTGAAAATCAAAAGGACCGACCAATCAATATAGGATGGTCGTTGCCTCTTCTCATGAAAACTGAGGACCATATTCAACCCGATCATACTCGCCACAACCAAATATAGCTTGGACACAATTTTCCCCACCCAAACACGCCAGGAATGCAGAGACAGAGGGCTTCAATGATTCAACCTGAAACTTACTAGTTCAACAGATCTGAATAGAATTCATAAAGATACAGTTAACCAGACAATAGAACAAATCGGTATGAATGCCATAATCGAATAACACTCCTCATCTGTAACAGCTAAGACACGTCTAAATTCCGATTACGTGCGAACTGATGAATTCGGGCCGCATCACATGAGCCTTCCAATTATTTATAAAAGCAACCACAATTTGCGAACTTTCAGAATATGAAAACAACAACCCTTCTAGTCACCTATCAATATTATCCAACTACTTCTTCTTAGGTCTAGTAATTAAGGAGCTTACTGTCTTTTCTGACATCTGTATTGAGGATTATAATTCAGATTCCTATGTCTATAATATATAAAAAGATCTGATCCAACACCCATAGAGCTACCAACTAATGTATAGTCACCTTTGGCCATGCACGTCAAGGGAGATTTGCATAAAGGGAGGGGTATATTTTCTGATAAAAATGGTTGTTAGTATCCGAAACTACCCGAGTCTCACTATAATATCTGTTTATTATCTAAAATGACAGGAATGTTACAACAAAAAAGAAACCTTACCACGGTAGTGGTGTATACGCTAATTCCATTTACCTGACGACATCAGCAGATCGGTCTCTGAACGTTGGAACAGGGAAGCAAATTAGCCCGAATCTAGAGACTTCGTCAAACATAGCATCGGAGAACTTCCCTTTAATATGACCAGGATTTAGATACATCATCAGCAATAGCACCAACGAAACTCCTGTCTCTCCTGATGTACACTATTTTTCTCGGATGAAAATACGTTCCTCAATTTGTCATATCTGACCGTGGACACCAGAAAATTGGCCTCTGAACGGTTCCATGGGAGAGTCAATGCGAGATTTTGATATCTACTTTTCCCCTTGAATCAGTCAACCCCGAAATTTACCGCGATCATTTGAAATTCTATTCCCCAACAGCAAATCGCTCTTTGAACAAATGCAATGGAAAGCCAATTAACCTGAATGTGGAGACCTTACATAGAATCGGAGAACTTCCATCTCATATGCCTAAAATAAATATATATAAAAATATCGTCTGTAATAGCACCAACGAAATTCCTGTATCTCCTGGTGTCCGCTTTTTTTCTCGGATGAAAATGCGTTCCCAAATTTGTCACCTCTGAACGCGGACAATAGAATATTGGTCTCTGAACGGCTCCATAGGAAAGTCAATGGGTCAGAAGTCCGAAATTGTGTCAACATTACTTCAGAGAACTTCCTATCCATTCCTATGTCTACTATTTCCCAAATTTTGGCTGTGGACCGTTCTATCACCTATCAAAGCGGTCACACGAAATTATATTCCTCAAGAGCAAATAGGCCTCTGAACAGACCAACCTGAAACTGCAAACTTTCTCAAACATAGCATCGGAGAACTTTCCTCTCATATGCTCAGGATATAGAAACTTCAGAGATATTAGCTATATTTTTATGTCTACATATTTTATTTTAAATCATTGTCAAGAAATATGACCGTGCAAAAGAAAATTCAATCTACTAACTACTGACAAGTACAAGATACGTAAAATGCATCAGCAGTTGTTGCCCATAATATGGGCTAACTAAGCAATAATTTTCATAAATCTATATTTAGGTTCAATATTTGGGTATTGTTCTATACGTTCACATCGATTTTTTTACAGAAAATTTGAATTTTTCCTCTCTTTGTGTTTTCCCTTCATCTAAGCAATATATGTATGATTTTACATTATTTTGTTTTATTACACATAAACTACATTGTTTCTCCTACCAAATGGTGAAAGTTTCATTAAAATACCTCAATTCGTTGCTGAGATATAGCCGTTTACATTTTTCCTTCCGGCCAAATATAGCTGCTACTCAAGTCTGTTTGCCTAATACCTCATTTGATCAACGCAATGCATTTGTAAATTTGATTTTTCGTCAATCAACATGCCATGTTGCCATATTTTTGTTCGAAACAAAATTCTTCAGTATAGAAATATTAAAAAGTAAAGCATATTTTTAGGCGCTAAAATTTCCCCAGCCTTTTTAAATGAAAGAACAAACTGCATTTATTGCTATATTTTATGGTTTTGTTTTCAGTACTGATCCAAAATCTCCAACAATAACCCCCATATATTTGACAAATTGGGTTCTCGTGGAGGCAATGGGTAAATAATTAAATGATTTGGTGCAACCTTTATTGGGTACGACTGTAATTTATTTTGGATAATCCCTCGTAAATTCATAATAAACAAATTAAAACCACATATTAAACTTTAAGTAGCTATTTGTATGTATTTTTATAAAAATGTATAAGATTATATATTTATATAGTATAGAGATGTAGAGGGGGATAGGGTAGTGAAGAACTGCATATACATATTTATATATATTTATTTCCATTTCTTATAGAGTGATGCATAGACAAATTGGATATGAGGGGGCGTTTGGGGGTGATTTATTGCCTTTTTTGCAGAAAAGGCCAACATTGTTTATATATGGTGTGATAGAGAAAACCTTGATTTATAAAAAGCATGTTTTTTTTGGGATTGATTTTTTTCTTTATGTTGTTGTTGATTGGTTATGTGTGTGTACCATCCATCATTTGTTTAGACATTAAATTGAAATATTTAAATATTGTTGATTTTTTGTTTTAAATATTTATATAAAAAAGGTAACATTTTTATTGGGCCAAGGTGCCCATTGGATCCCATGCGGGCAATACTATAGGATCCTGATCGAACACACTTAGTATATCGGCAGGCACATATTTCTTATCGACGACAACTTCAAAACCGAATTCTTTGAACCATTCGGCTGACATTACCAGATAACCTTTTTCGCCTCGATCTTCGCCCCAGGAGTTTTCAACACGTAACTTTTTAACTTCACCATTATCCTGAATGATGAAAGAAAATATAATGTAAATTATTGTAGAGCTGGGAAGTGCAATTTCCACTTACATCCAAAGAAACCGCAGTAAATACCATGGCATGAGTCATGGCAGATTCACCATAAATAAGGCGATCAGCTTTGGTCAGAGTTTTCTGAATATCAATATCGAAGACCAGTTTGAAGTCATGGCTGAAATTGAGATGAAATAAAAATTAATATAAACAGGTAAGTGCAAATAGGCGTAAAGTTTGGTCGATCGGAATTTTTGGGAACCTTCACAATAGAGATATTAACATTTATTTCCAGAAAAGTTGCAAACAACGCATAGAACTTTACTGCAGGGAATGATGTTCGAAAGAGTGGTTAAAACAATGTTACCAAAGAAGGTTGTGTAACCCACTTTATTCCAGAAATAATGAATAAAAATGTCCTAAAATTAATTTTGGGTGTATGGCTGCTTATCTAAACAGGATCCAATCTTTATAATTTTGGCGAGGCGGGTTCACAATCCTCAAAACACCGAAATTTAATTTAATATGGGCTAAACGAAAACGTGAACGATAATTTTCAGTAAGGAATTGTCTACACAATCATATTCCAAATTGGAAAAATTGCAGCCTATTTGTGGGAATACGTTGTATTGTGGTTGATCAAAATTATCAAAATAAAAAAATGGGAGCGATTCGAAAACCTTGACCAATATTGAGATTTTTTGGTTGTTGTAGCAGGACAAAAGTTCGTATATAATGGGTTGTAAGAAAAGTCTTTGGCTGAGTAAGAATATATTCGTTCGGAACGTATCCAACTACAGCAAATTCGATGGATAAACATTATATGGATACTATCCTCAACGCACTCCAATATAACCCTTCTTCGAGCTTTACTTGTCCACATAACATTACTTGTTTTCCACAAAAATTGTTTTTTTCTCAAAGCCTTGAGATGAAATTTAGAGAATGTTCCAATATTTTTCATTTCACAACTTACACATTCAAATCTTCAATGCCTTGCTTGCCAGCAAAACGTTTACTAACTTCGCAGCCAAACCATACCGGCTCACCGGCCTTTAAACTGGCAGCAACCATTTGTAGAAGGACTTCAACGGGTTGATTATTATACAAAACAGGGCGGCCATCGACAACATTGCCTAAACAATCAACAGTATAGGCTTGATTGTATTTGCTAGATGGACGAGGATCGGTAACTAAACATACCTACAAATAAAAATATTGCATTTAATATAATTTAAAAACATAGTTTGTAGAGTTCTTACCTTGTCCTCAACATTGAATAGAGGCTTAACCTTGGTTTCATAGAATTCCAGTGGTGTAATTGGTCCCACGGAATGATAATTTTTGGTTTTATCATAATACTCCCAGGTAAATTCTTTGGATGGTATACCCAAACAAATGCCAACAACTTTATAGATTTCACCCATCATTTCATCAATTTTAGCATTGACTTCCTCATCCGAGGGATTGGTATCCATCAGGTCACGCAGTACTTTGGAATATTCACGTAGCTGGAAAAGAAAGAGGAATACAATTTGAATTTGTATTGAAAACGTAAAGAATTACAATTAAATATTTTGGTTATTAAAGAGGAGGGTCTTTGCATGGTGGAGAAAAAATCTGTATAAAACCCAAGCTTATGGGTCTGTGGATGGTTGAAAAAATGCTTATAAAATTGTCTATATTTAATCCACGTTTATGAGTGTTTATATGGTTGAAAAGAAATCTTTATAAAATCCACGCTCATGGCTCTATAGATGGTGGAAATAAAATGTTTATAAAATCCACGCTTATGGCTCTATAGATGGTAGAAATAGAATCTTTATAAAATACACGCTCATGGCTCTATAGATGGTGGAAATAAAATCCTTATACAATCTACGCTCATGGCTATATAGATGGTAGAAATAAAATCTTTATAAAATCCATGCCTATGTGTCCATAGATGACGGAAAGGAAATGTTTATAAAATCCACGTTTATAAATCTGTAGATGGTTGAAAGATACCTATATATAATCAACACTTTTAGGTTCTTAAATTGTTGACAAGAATTCTTTATAAAAAAACCCGCTTATGGTTGAAAAGAAGTATTTATAAAATTCAATCTGGATGGCTGAAATAAAATCTTTATAAAATTCAGGTCTATAATGCAATAAAAGGAAGTTCTCAGAAAATAGACGCTCTGGTTGAAAATAAAACTTTTTACGCTTATGGGTCTTTAGATGGTCAGAAATAAATCTTTATCAAATACAAATATTGTGTCTAGTAATGTTTGAAAAAAATTCTATATAAAATCCACTAGATTGATTGTACATTGTTATTTAAAAACTCATTGCTTATGGGTCTTCAAAATTGGAAAAATTCTAACTTACTTTGCTCTTCAAAACACCATTCATACGCATACTGGACTCACAACTGTAACTTTCGGGGAAACATTTCTTTGGCATAACTCCATGTTTGGTTATCAAATTAACTAGCATATCCCATTGGCCACCGTCAGAGGTGGGGTCCTGTAATACAACAAATTATAATTAAGAGTTAGAAAAAATATACCGATATTATTTTCCTTACATTCAATAAAAATGACACCAGACGTCCATCAACTTTTTCGCCACGTTTCGAAGTTTTTACAATATTATTTAGGAAATAATTGCAACGCTCAATTTTATCCCAATAGAAGAGATAAGCCTGAGAGAATTCAAATTCATCCAAGTTGTATTCTTTCATCATGGGCAAACGTAAGCAATTGAGAGCGGCAAATAGCCAGCATCTGCCGGAACTTCTTTGATTGGTAACGGGTTTGCCTTCCAATTCCACCTGTAAGCAGAAAGAAACAAAAACACATTAAAAAGGAACCTAAAAAAATGTTCAATAGGGAAACTTACTTTGTGGGTGAACACATGATTGGTGGTCTCCAAACATTTACGCGACAAACACACTTCGAACGGATCGAAACGTGAACAGACATTTTGCGCCAATACATTTTTCGGTTCATTGTAGAAGTTTTGACGCCATTTGTCCAATTTATCCTGTGTTATGGCCGAGGTAGAGGCTAAAAGAAAATTTGAGCCTTTTGAATTCATTGCAAATGAGGTGTTCAGTTGTTGTTGTTGCGGTCCGTTAATAAAAACATTTGTCAAAAGACTACGGGTCCTAAGTAGGGATCGCCTACAATTATTTGTCACTGTAATAATTTGGTTTATGCGGTAATAAAATAGGTGAATATAATTTTGAAAATTTTACACCAATGAATGATGAGTTGTTAGCGGAATGAATGGCTGGCATTGACTGATGTCATCAATGAATGTGTTTGACAACAAAATTTTGCAATGCAAAATATCAAACAAAGCATCTGAAAATCTTGAATGTTACGTTAACTATGGCAAATATTGTTGTTTAGGGCTATAAAGTGTGGGTTCTTAAACATCCAATAAATAAATAAGCTGTAATTAAATACTTGTATTGACAATTGGAATAATTAACATATTAGTATGGGGTGACTTGTATTAGAATAAAAAACTATCTACTAGAATCTAATAATAGAGTGCTTCCTTTTTCTGTTTCAGTAATATAATAAAAGATTGAAAAGTTGTTCACTGAAATGTATTTGTGTTGGGATTTTGAATACCATAATTCCAATATATTTTGTACTTCTTCTTCAGTTCTAGACTTATCACAAATGATAATAACATCGCATTGGACTTTGCTTTAGGGTGCGCGCTGCTGTTTGCCATCTCATTAAATCTCAATTTAAATAATTTTAGAATTATGTAAATATACCCCGATCTGAGTATGTTTAAGATTTGCAATAATTTATAAACAAAACGATAAGAAAATGTGCTAATATTGACAATCGACAAAATGCAAGTGTAAACACATTTTTGCTACAGCAGTGTTACGAAAGGGGGGGTTTCTTTGATAAAAAAAGTATATATTGAACAAACAAAGATACAGTGTTCAGAACGAATAGAAATGTGTAGAACGAAGAATGCTAATAAAATTTATAAGATGTTAATTAGAAGAACAATACTTATTTTTGATGGCAATTGTAATTTAAAATCAATTTAATAATAAAATCAAAGGATGTCGAATGCATATGTAGCCCAAATCGCCTAAGCAAGAGACCGGCGAAATTGGTTGCTTTAAACGATGAATGGCAGAGCTTTTCTTCTCTTAAGCGATATGTCGTTAAACAAAAAATTAGTGATATGCATGAAGAAATGCCAAAAATGGAATCCTAACAGATAAAATCAGTAAAAAATACGAAAAACACGAGGTCTTAACAGCGCTTTCTTATTTGCACAGGTACTTAAGGGGACCTCCCCCATTCTCGATTTTAAATTGTCAAGAAGATTTTCATTGGTAAATGAATACCAATGCATGTTATGGTTTGTAACTTTACCCATATATAATTGAAGATTTAAAAGAGAAGGAAAATTATTAGCAAATTTGGTTGTTGTTGTTGTTTTAGGCGATTAAAAAAAAAAGTAGTTTTTTACGAAAATAGCAGATCTTTGGAAAAATGTTTTTGGAAATTCGCATATTTTTGATCACTAACTAATTCAAAAAATAAGGAAGTTTTTCGCCCTTTGGTTTTATCCCAGTTTATACGAGAGCTATACACTCCCAGAGAATCGTGTCAAAATTTGGAACCGATTGGATTGTTAGTTTTTTAGTTATCGTGCCCGCCATTCGTAAGAACACTGCCGCGAGAAAAAATGGTTTAAAGTTTGAGAATCACTCTTGCCGTTACTTGATGCTGACACAATAAATCGGCTATATCTTCAAGTGTTCTTGAGATTTTCACTTGAAAATTTTAGGGATATTCTGGAAGTAGTGTAGACTTGTATCCTTTATATGGGGGTAACCCCCACTGCATAGAATATTTGATATACATCAAAGTTGGGAGTAAGTTATTGTTAGGAACATATCTCGGATATAAATATATATATATATTTTTAATTTGTATCACAGGTAGGTTTTGTTTATGACTTGGAGAATGGATATGGACCGTGGATACAATATTTTTTATGCAGCTGGAAATACTGCTAGAAGATTCGTTGTTTTTTAGTTCAATAAATTCAATTTGAAGCTATCAAGGTCAATTTCAATTAAATTGCAAATACTCTAGTTAGCATATGTACATTTCAATTCTTATAAGTTATTTACAAACGTGGCAAATATATCTCTATTTCTAACTATCTATATTCTGCAATTCCTGGATATTTTAAAGCCATGGCATCTCTTTTCTTCATCTAGTGCGTTTTCCTTCTATTTTGGTCCTATTTTGGTCCATTAAGTCCTGCTTTCTATTTGCCAAAATAAACTCTAGTTGTCGATCTTCGCAATCCTATATATTTTTTTTATTAAACTTCGCTTGGTGCCAAGTCCAGCCTGTATGGCGGATATATTAAAACTTTCCAACCAAACTCCCGAAGTTTCTGGCGAGTCAATGTAGGTTGTGTGGCCTAACGTTGTCCTGGTGGAACACGACACCTCTCCTTTTGGCCAATTCTGGCCGTTTCTGGTCAATTTGAAATGCTTTAAAACAGTTTTATGGTCGATTTTTAGCTCCTGGGCGATGTTACGACTGCTACTGGACTGGATATGTTTATTTCAATTTCCTTCATTAATTGCAAAATCCATAGAAGTTCCTGAGTTGCTTCAGTAAGAGCCACAAATTCTGCCTCGGTAGATGATAAAGTTACATTTGCTTGCTTTCGGCTAGCATAACTGACGACAGCATCACAAAGCTTGTAGATTTGCGATAATTGATGTCGCCTGCCCAATCAGCATCAGCAAAGTCTTTCAATTCTAAATCGCTTTTAGATCCAACGAGCAATTTCAGTCTTTAGATATTTTGACTACAGTCCAATCTCTTTCATTGGGGCAAGTAATATTGAAACAGCAACTGCAATATCTGGACGTGTATTGTTAGAGATATACAGCAGTGATCGGATAGCCTTTCGGTATAAAAATATTGCGTTCAAGCAAATTATTCGTAGTTTCCTTCAAATATCCAGGATCCATGGGTATTGGTGAAGTCTTTGGATCTTGAAGATCAAACTCATTGAATAGTTTTTTAATGTAACGTTCTTGTGAAGGAATCGAATCGAAAGAAATCGAATAAATAAATAAATAATATAAACCATCATTGCAGCTCATTCCTATCCCCAAATAGTCTTAAATCACCCAATTCCGCTATTCAAAAGTGGGATTTTCAGAATACGTAAAACATCTTAAATTTCCTCATCAGTCTTAGATGCAATAATAATGTCATCGACGTAAATCAGAACGTATGTGATTGAGTTCGTATCACTTTTAATTTATAAACAGTGTTCAGCCTTTCTCCTTCTGATTCCTGAATCAATTCGGTTTAATTTACAAACACAATTCTCTTTTCCAGGTATAATAAAACTTTCAGGTTGTTTTAAATATATATCGGTGTCTACTTTTATTTCTATTTATTGCTTGCTTTACAACAGTGTTCATAGTTTTCGCCGTATTTTTGGGAAAATCCACTCCTCTAGCTCTGATTCCTTAACTTTGAATCAATTAACTTTGAAGACCCTTTTTGCAATTTGCCAAACACAATTCTCTTTTCCAGGTATAATAAAACACGGATCCTCTTCTTCAACGAAAATGTTGTATCCATACTTTTTAGGCGGTATACCCTTGTTAGATCTTGAAGAAGTTCGACGAGTATTATCAGGATTAATTGTTACGTCATTATCTAAAATTTTCTCGTCAGATGACGATGAAAATTCCCTGACGGATTCAAAACCAAAAAATTCGTCATTACTTATCGAGTCTTGATAATACTTCTCAAGATAATATGAACTTGCAAAGTTCGATCATTTTTTTAAAAAAAGGATATTATGTAGCCCCTGTTGGCACATGTCTATAGAAGAATTTTTTAAAACCATAAACTTGGTTTTATTAAACAAGAATACTTTGGACACACATTTCTCGGGAAAGCCGGTGATAATAACGCTTTGATTTTAAAACCAATGTGAAAATACAACGATGATCAAGAACAGGACCCTAAACTCAACTTTTTTCTTTGTCTCTATCAACGAATTAAACGATGTTGATTACATAGCTTATTTTTTATCTCCAAATTATCATAATGTTCCCTCAATAATAAAAATAAAACAAAAGACAAAGACCCAAATATTCCAAAACCAAAGTTCTTTAAAAAAATTCCATTCAATTTCACTATCTTTATAAACATTTTCCGGCTTAGCACGGACTCACTCACTCATCCAACAACCTAACATCACACAAAATATATGTAGATTGCAAAAGAAGAAAAACAAAAAAACAAAGCTGTTGCATATAAACCTATTAACACAATTAACCAGATAACTGAACCTATCAACTAAACAACACTCCATGCATCAACAAAACAACAACAACAAATAGCAGTAATTGCCTTTTGGGTGCAAACAATACCACCACCGCCAACACCATCATCATCATCGCCACGATTGGCGGCGGGTGGACGACAACAACGGTTGACTGTTTGTGTTCGGTTGGTTGGTTCATTCTTTTGTCTGTGCTTTAGGTTAATTGCAAAAATTGAAAATAAAAAAACAACTTTAATTTAAATGCAAACAAAGAAGCTACACCGACCAACCACGGCATATAAACTAGATACGATGAATACGAACAAACAACAACAACGCCAATAAAATATAAAGATGTTGTTGTTGCTGTGTATAGTAGGTGCTGCTGCTGCGTATTTGCATATTGTTTTTTGTTTTTGGACAAGCTATTTGTTAGACAATGAATGGCTGCTTGTTGTTGGATAAATGGAAATAAATTCTCTTCTGTGACGACAATGACCAGCTTCGATTACTTTTTATGAGATTTCGCTTTCAGCGTCAACCATGCAGCCAAACGGCAGCATAACACATAACTTGTAGTAGCGTATGCTCCGTTGTTGTTGTTGACACAATTGTGGTTAAAAACAACATAAACACCCTCTTCTTCGTGAAGTCAAGGAACGGGAAATCTACTAAGACAAATTGCGGGCGGGCGGTCGCTCGGTCAGGGGCAGTGAGTTGCAGGCTGTCAGTTGTGGATATAGAAAATGGTGGAGAAAAATATAGTATTTGCTATTTCCATCATCGCATCTGAGCCACAACTACAATAACAACAACAATCCGTCCATCCATCTATCCATACATATTTGCCAATTACTTGGCAAATTTGCGAAAAAAAAATTACCAACACCGACAAAAAAAGCTTTGAAAATTCACTTTCATTTCTTTTTATGGGTCGACACAGGCAGCTGGAGGACATCATAATTTTTTTTTCAGGGAGTGGACAATGTTATATATGATTTACACTTTTCTTTTGGGAAATATTTTATTATTTTTTTTTAAATACTTTCTATTTTAATAATTGATTTACTTACACATTTTTTTATTTAATATTTATAACGAAAAAAAGCTTTAAATGTTTAATGATTTTGCAAATGTTCGCTTGTTTGATGCGTTTTTGGCGTTTTGATAGCACAGAACCGAGCCATACTAAAGTTAACGGCAGCGGTTCATTGTTGCGTTGTTAAAAATGACGCCGTTGTTGTGTTGAGTATTATGTTACGGCGTTAATTTTCATTAACCCTTGTTGATGCAATTGAAGTTAAAAAGTAACAAAAGCGAATAAATTAACATAACCAGCTCCGACAGATGTGAATGTGGAGACATCCAAACTATGGACCACATCACCTTTAATTGCCCTGACATTGACCAAAATACCAGACGTTCTTTATTGCAAAATCTACAAAAACTCGGAATTTATCAACATTCAATCGATATAATACTAAAATTTTTAATAATATTAGGGCATACTTTGCCTTAGCAAAATACTACAAAGATGCAGCTATACGAATTTAAAAACAAAAACTAATCAAAACTATAGTGAAATATAAGCCAATTAATTCTACCCGTAAAACACAAAAATCCCATGAAATATATGAATACCCGTGAAGGTGGCAACATAGACTCAGTGTCTCATGCCACTTTAAATTCCACCTCAAACACGGAGGAATTGATATATGAAAACATATGTCAGAAGAAGAACAAAAGCAAATTTTTTATATTAAATTACGTTTTAACGTCACGGAATATTAGTCGGATACTTTAAGATAGAGCTGTAATGCTTGGTATTCCAAATAAGGATATATCTTATTTTCCAACCAAAGAGATTCTAAATCGACATTCCGGGTCTTTGGAATTTTCTTTCGGAAAAAATTCAATACATGTCCCGCCCCTTTTTTGTTTTAAACCTTTATTTTATCGGAGGATAAGACGGACTTAACTATATGATCTACATTATTTTTAATAATAAATCTGATACGGATAATCTTGTTTAAATGAATTTAGCTATTATGGAAATAAAGGGGAAAGCACTTGCAGGGATTTGAAATCTAGTTAAAGAAAATATGCATTATGAAAACATGGACTGAAATTCTTTAAATGTGTGTTGTTATCTATATTAACATTTCTTGTTAAATTTGTACAATTTACCTACTAAAAGAAATATCGGTATATTTAAAATCATAAATGTTCTGTTTCCTACTTCGATATCATAAAGGAAAATTCGTTATCGTAGTAAATATTAGTAGATTCTTGCAGTACGGGAACAGACCAAAAATAAAATTAAAAATGAAATTACTGGTATTTGCGTTTAAACCGGAGTAAAAATGTGCCCTATTGTTTACATGAATACATTCCACATATATTAGTTGAGGTTGTTGTAGCAGCCCTATTGCTTTTGCACAATGGACTGAGCTGACAGACAGACATGATCTAGACTTGGTAAAAATATTACTATGTACAAAGTTTGGTTCAATTCATATCCGATATTTAAATTTAAAACTATTGACCAAAATGGAGGCGGACCATATTCGGTCTAGTTCTAGGCTTGTAAAAATATTACCATATGTGTGTGAAGTAATATTTATTTATTCACTTTAAAATGTACATGGTTTTATGTGGACCTGTAACTTTCGTCTTCGAACTTGTTCGATTTATGGAAAAATTAATGCAATGTGGATAGTGGACTCAGGCTAGTTTTTTAGCCTCGATTATAAATACATCAACCTTGATCATGGTATCAACATTTTTGCCGACAAAAACCGTACAATCATTTCGGCTTTGTGTGAACATTCTTTGAATGAACTGTTTCATTATACGGCATTTGTAATTGTTGATAGAGGCATTACCAATACAGATTTCAAAAAAGCTTTAGCAGGAATATATGTATCTCTTGCGGAAATATGGTCCTTCAAAGTTCCATTGGGATCTTGTATTTTCTCAAATGCATTTGATTGATATATGGGTCTCCTACGTTCCGTGGGACCCTTTTACAATATGTTTATGTGTTTGTGGGTAGCCGGTCTTTGGCCGTGGATATGTGTTTCTCCGATGAATTTAAGTTTTTCTTCTATGTCCAGGCGACCGAATTTTCTTTTTAATTAGAATAGTATTTGTGGAAAGCCGGCCTTTGGGTGGAGATGATTCAAGCTTTTTACCCTGCAACCAGAAACGTTTTATAATCGTCAATACAAAAGAATACCTCAGTCGCATAACATTTTGTAATGCCGCCTTAAAAATAAATATCACCGCATCTATTTTCCATCGCCTTCAAACTCTAACCTCCCCTACTCTGATGTTTTTCTTCAACTGTCATTGATAATGTTGCGTTTTGTTGTAATCGAAGTTCGACAACATTTGTGTTGTGCCAACGTATTTCTGAACTTCCAACAATCCATTACAGATTTCGATTCTGTGCGAATTAATGTGGAAGATGGTCTGATACGCGTAAAAGATTCCACCGATTCCACAGTGGTTGAGGTGAAAGTTGCCGAATATTTTACGATATTGACGGAAACGTTTAGCAATCTGTTGGTGGATCAAGAGAATATATCATTTCGCATAAGTGTGCAAAATGTTAAGGATTTAAGTCAATATGGTAAAGGAAGTTCCCACTCGGCACCAGCATTTCAGCTTGAGGAAGGTCAGAGCGTTTCCCTGCACTGTAAACAATGTGAATCGACGTTATGTGGCAGCCAGCGATATAGTAAAGTAAGAGAATTCCCCTCCGGCTCTATAGATATCAGTGAGTTCTTTTGTCATCATGGTCCAAGTTTTAATGATGTCCTCCTACCACGCATTGCGGATATATTTTATGGTTTCCAATTTGTAATAATAAATATGGAAAATATTCGAAATGCTAGCAAAGAACGGGAACAGCATTTATATTGCAAACGTTGTAGCAGATATTTGGGTGAAACACTATTTGAGGGTAAAGCAGCAAAATTGTGGACGGATTCCATTGCTATGAAACGTGAGGACGATATAGAAACTACGGACCTCTTCAATGTTGCGGAACATAATCTGTTACAACTGCTAATGCTAAAAGTTATAAATGAAACCTCATTACCTTCACCGGAACCACTACTACGGAATATGCATTTTACCAAAGTCCTATTGGAAACCAGTCTGGCCAATCGTAAACCCCGATATCTTTTAGTGCAAATCTTAGAAAAGAATTTACCGGTACTTAAAAACGATGACGAATTGCAGGATGTGGAAAGGAAAGATGCCGATACATTAATACATCTGTTAAATGTAGAACTTGGTGTATGTCAGGCATTTAAGTTACTGTATAGATTGATTGAAAGTGAACACCAGCCGAATGATAATTGTGATGATGTCAATGGCGAAGTAGATGAAAATGAACCTCCCATGTTATCCTATTGGCAACAGGATATTAATATACTTAAATTGAAAATATCACCTTTCCTGTTTCATGATTTATTAGACGAATTGAATTGTAATTCTTTGTTGTTACCTGAAATCTATAGAAATAATAAAGATTCATTTACACTGAGCTATATTTTTCAATAGAATGAACTAAAAGAGATTGTATTTTATAAAATCAAACGTATTTACTTATACTTAACCATGTTGGGAGGATATTGAGAGATTGTTTTGGTCCATGAGATTATGGTATATCCAAATGTCGGCCCTTGTTTAACGAGTAGATAAAAGGAGATCAAACATGATTTTTAAAGTCTTTCCAGGGGAAGCAAATTCTAAGGAAAAGCGAATATGTGGCCATATTTATGCTGAATGTTTATTTTTGTTTATGTTTACTTCGATAAACCTAGTCCGGCTAAGTTGCTTGATTGATACTTAAAGAATCGGTCTAAAATTTTTAATATTGTTAAGTGAAATGATCAAAATAGAGGGCGCAAAGGGTGATATATTTACTGAGAAATTTACATGTGACGAGGTTAACCGTACCTTTTATCCTACTGCTATTCAAAAACGTATCTTTAGCCTGTATTTTCCTAGAGTTTAGGGTAGCTTTCAAATAAGATTAGGTTTATTTAATTTGCTTCATATAACCTACAATATGTGTTCAGGTCCGCAAGATAATTGTATAGGATTATATATATATATATATATATTCATAGGATATGTATTCTATTGGACCATAATTAACTTTTTCTATTTCAAATCAAATTCTTCGGTACTGGTCCTTTGATTGTATACTTCTCGAAATTCTCCACTCATATATTATCTTTAGGGTACTACTATACAAAATATAATTAATAAAAATATTTTTTAATTAATTGTGTTGTGACTATTCCAGACGAAGTTGAAGGGCTGGTAAACTGCTCGAAAATTATAAAATATCCATGTGGACGTTCCTCCTTAGCTTATGTAAACAACTATTACCTCAAGTTGTATACAGTCAGCCGAAAGACTTTTGTTATATACCCTCATCAGACTTTTATATCGAGTTAGTTCCAGGTGTCTTGGAACCAAAAATACCCATCTGTTTGTTTGTTGAGAACGATTTTCATATTAAAATATTTCGTTCTAAATAAATTAAGTTCGAAGATGGGACCAATCGCTTCCCTATTATTGTTACCTCACCAAAAAAATGTCAACATTGTGAAAATTTTTGAATTTCAGATGATTCTGAATATCGTAATAATACCACCGTAAATCCGAATATTGAATATATCAGTCCACACATATGAACCTAATTAGGCATCCGTATTGATCCAAGCTTTGCACGTCAACATATTTTTGTCAAATCTACCTTATATCTGAAGATGGAGTGTACTGGTTTACTACTTCCAGTACCTCCCACACAAAGCATCAAAATTCGAAAATCTCATATGAGCTAATCCAATCTTATTATCAATCTTATGATTATCGTAAAATTTTTACCAAAAAAAAGTGGGTTATGGTCACATTGATTACTTTCGGGAAAGGCAGAGAAGACTATAGTTTCAGATTTACCACAAATCCTCATCAGTTCCCTTAGTTTTTTACTTGGGATATATAGGGAGTCATGTATCACTCCACTAAACAAAAAAAACCCTGCTTCCCCAATTTTGTTACGTCCACAACGTCAAGCCTAAGTACCTCTAGAGAAAAGCTCTGTTTGAGAATTCCCTAAAAGACTCAGAAAATGTTGTGGACGAACCCTAAAAATTAATAACAGAAGTCCTTAACAACCCATTGTTATTTATTAAATAAATAACAGTTAAATTTCAAACAATATTTAAATATGCAAACCCATACCTAAAATATATCATCTCTTCCCATAAGGCATACTTGATATATTCTAATATTTACATGGTATACATGTACATACGTACATATATATACATATGCCACCAAGTTGTTTCTATTACAAGCACATTTTATAGGCCCCACCCTACTTACGCGCTGGTATCCCTTTGCCACCTTATGGGGATACACAAAAAACAAAGAATAATAATAGAATCCCCAACGAACAACGTGTATGTAATGTTGTATGAGATTTATTATGAGTTTTATATTTTAATATTTCTATGTTGTTGTTATTATTATTGTTGGTAGTGGTGGTAATGATGGTGTTGATTATGATAGTCGGTACTGCTGTTATAACTGGAACATTATAATTGAACATTGTCGTAGTAATTGAAGATTTCATGTAGGTGGTGCTTTGGTTCTGGAGGAAACATTATTACTCACTCTGTGGATTAGATTGACATGCTAATGGAACGCGTAATATTTTTTTTTTTTTTGTATTTTCATATTCGATGTATGCGACACATTATTATTTTCACAACATTAAGGAGGAGTGGGCAATAATGTACTGGCGCCTTACTCCTTTTTATTTTTTGCTGATTTTTTTAGAAACACTAACATGCGAATATATATTGTGTTGATTACTTTGATGGTCGGTCCCATGCCATTGGGATAAATATAGGCGGTATTCGATGTTGGTTGGTGTTGGTGGTCAATATGAACATACCCTTTTTTTGGTATGTCTGTCTATCGCTGGTAGGCAGCGACAGCGATAATGTTAAGCTTTAAATATCGTACTATTTGCAGGGAACCTTGTCTAAGCATAAATAGCTTGCCGTCCATTTCTCCCCTTCCCCCACACTTTCCGTAGATGTTTTCAGTAGAAGAAGATGGTGCTCTAAATTGTGGTGACGAAATACTGGTGAACATAGAATGACAACAACGGCGATGGCGAAAACATTAACATTTCTTCTTGAATGATTGAAAATTTTGATTTTGTGCCAAGTGTGTGTGTGAAGTATATGAGAGTGTGTCGTCTTTTGACCATGACTTAATGTGCCGTCACACGGCTTCTCTTTGGGCCTTTACTTGGCTAATTTACGCATTTGCTTGGTCTGTTCGGCCATGGCAATTTCAGCGGTATCTGCCTTATTAATCATATCATCCAAACGATCCAAATGTGAGGTCATCTTCTTGTTAATATCCAACTTGGCTTGTCGTATCTTCTCTGTTGGTATGACGGGTTCGCCTTCTTTGTGTTTCATTTCATCCAAAACTTTGGCGGCTTCATTAAGATTTGTGGCATTTGCCGTGGTGTTGCGTCTACTGGTCCCGGCCGATGAAGTGTTCGATGAGGAAGCCTCAATGTCTACGGAGCCGGAACGTCCAAATATATTGGAAAGACTACCCGCAGCACTTTGTTTAAAACGGAAGATTTTCTGTTGTGTGGACGATAGAATGCTATTCAATTCATCAAGTTTACTGTTAGCACTTTGCATAGTTTCATCTTGTTCCTCAAGGGCCTAGAAAATAATCGACCAACAACAACATCAATTATATGTTATTTAGTTTGCAATTATGGTTTGTCCCGTCCTTACCTGTGCCTCTGCCGCTAATTGTTCTTCTTGTTCCTTTTGTAAACGTTCTGCTCGTGCCTTTTCAAATTCTTCTTGATTGGGTTTTTCAATGCCCAACAATTCGGCCCTCATGCATTCAAATTCATAAGTTCCCTCAGCCATAGTGGATTAAGCGTTGAATAAACCTTTACTGTTTTGGAAGTTGATGCGTATTAAAGACAGGATAGGATTTTTTTGCGTTAGGTTTAGTTTTTCCCCTTTAAGGAAAATTAACTAGAGCAAACAAGTATGATATGCGTTCGCGTTTGTTTGTGGCTCAGTGTGTGTGTGCTTTTAATATGTTTTCCTAATGCTTGAGCTGGCGCATGAGCTTTAACTTTAAGAGAACAAAATTACACCATTTCCGAATTTTATAGTCGAAATTGAATTTGAAAGGCTTTTAAATGTATGGGAATATAAAAGAGTTAGGGATGTAGGATGAAACCACTGAGAACACAAAATATGTCATGGAATCAAATTTTGTTGTAAAAAGCGGCTAATACACAACATATCTGGGACCTTTATATACAGGCTATGTCAAAAAATTATCCCTCTCAAATTTTTTCTGTAAGCATGTCTATGCTCTTAAATAAGGCGAATGGGGAATATCAATAACATACGAACTTAATCTAAGAAAGTCGAAAATGGTACGGGGCGTCCAAGTAAAAACATGGATCTACATTGAAATACTTATACGATGAAGTTTTTTACCCTCCAATAACCCGAAAAGTCAAATTACAGTCTCGTCGGTTGAAATAGATATTTAAAATCGAGCTGGATCTTCATATTAGCACAATGACAAAACATGGATGCATATTTAAAATGTTCTGTTAAGAAGTTAGTTAAACCAATCTGTCATGGAAACAATCTACAATTGTAGTGTTGCCATGGAATAAAATTATTCCACCCTAATACTCACATTTACAATCTCTTAAAATAAAATAATTGTTTTCTTAAATAAATATTTTTTTATTCAGTACATCTTTCATAAATCTGAATATACGATTCTGTTAGGGTAATCATTTGGGGTAGGATTTCGGTGACATGTAAATCTTGCATTTCATACCACTGGCCATTGGCTTTGTGTAACATATGCACTCGATATGTACCCTTATTTGGTTCTCCATCGTGTACAATATTCGCTACCAGATTATATTTACAATTGCCAACCTTTTCACGATTTTGTATGGAGAGGATGTCGCCAAAATCTACATTTCTGGGAGATAAAAAATAAAATTTTGGATAAATATGAGATGACCTATACAACGGTCCTACACATAAAGTCTTAGTATAGTGAGTTGCCTGTTCGTTTGAAAGAATGGAGATGTATGAGACTGGCTGTGTGAGACCATGGAATTAAGGTATATGTGTGATAGAAATTAAGTTGATAAATTTGTGGTAAATGATGGATATAAATTTATCAATAGAGATAGATAATCAAATCACTTTGGTTTCTATCTCACATTTCATCAGTTTACGTCCATACTTACTTGATGGGGAAATTAACAATTGTGGGATTCTTTTCCAAAAAGAAAGTATTTTTGGTAAAACGTTTTATGTACAGAATAATAAATTGTGGCAGGCGGGCAACTTCGAAACGCTTTAGGAAATTATCCTTATAGGTTTTGTATTCCTTTTCGGTGGTACCATTAAATTTTGATAGCAACTGATATAAATTCACCTGGGGTATAATATTTTCACGGAATTCATCGGTAAACAATGGTGGTGGTGGTAGATCACATGTCAAATATAAGAAATTTGTTGTTTCACATTTTTCTTGATATTCTTCGGTGGCCAATAGCAATGATTTTTGGGTGTCATCTAAATCAACTGGAGGTATTTTCCTAGTGTAGATTTTCATTTCACCCAAAAATGTTTTATAAATTACGGAAGAATCGATTTTCTTTGTGCCCTTTAAGGCTCGATGAAGAGTATGCAGGAACCATGATAGGAAATCAATTGGATCACCTTGTTCGGTGATTTGAAATCGTTTATTAGACCATAATACCACAGCCTGTAACATTTCATGGGGTGATACATGGGCCTTAAAATTACGTGGATTCCACATTTTACGCATTAGCTCACCAAAACGTTGTACCAAATTGAATATCGAATCACCTGGTGGTCTTTTAATTTTTGCATAATGTTGCTCCCTCAAGAAGTAATCGCGCAGTGGACCCACATGCGACAAAGCATGTAACACCACATTACAATAATCATTGGCTTTGATGTTATTCAAACCCACAACACCCGGTAAATATAGAGTACCATCAACGGTACGAGAATATTTCGGATCTGCTTTGTCGAGATTTTTTATATCTGCCGGAGAAAATGTGGGATTCAGCACAAATTTTATATCATCCAGTGACGAGTCAATAATTTCATAATTATCTGGCAAACAATAGAATCGAAGCGTTTGCAAATTCAGGAACACATGATGAGCCTCAGCCACGGAATGCGTGTAGGCATGTGTATTTGTTCCTCTACCCTGGAAATATTTGCCACACACCAGACAGGCATAAACATTAATACGGGTCAATGATATCGAACATAATTTCTCAAAATCGAAATCCAATAGTGGCCGATTTATGGTATCCAGATACGGACAGACACGATATTTGGGATTGAATGCTGATGGAGTTTCCAGTTCCTCTGTGAGGGAAAAGAAAGTTTCATGTTATATTTCTAGACCCTTCGCAAACAGCACACATTTGTTTACATACCATCATCTTCATTGCCTGTATTTTCCTTGTTGGATTCCTCCAGTTTGGGTTTCTTTTCGAACGGCTCTTCAGTTGCTGTTCAATAAGAAGGATTTATTTAATTAAAAATTCACATTTTTATTGAGAAAAACTTACCGTTTCCAGACATTTTTTATGTTAAAATTCCAGTAATAAACGTATGTTTACAATTTGTGGCTTTGGAGATGACACAACTATCGATAACTAAGGCAATCTGCCGGCATGCCGATTGTTATCGTTGTCGTATGTATTTGAGATTGAGTACAATTGACGCTGGGCGTGTGGCGATTTATACACCAATATATATTTTTTTGAACGTTTTTAGAATATTCAAACATTCAAAGTGACTGAAATATAACCATAGTAGTTTTGACAAAGACATCGATAAAATTGTTTTAGTTGTTTAAAAATTATCTGAAAATTATTCTAAAATACAAAGATTTTTGTAATTTGAATCCTGTTTAATGAAAACATTACGCGCTACATCTAAATAAGTGCTTAAAAAGTGAACCATCTGTAGGTTAGTCCAATAGACGTTATTTTCCTATGTAAGTTTGTTAAAAATTCATATAAAGACATTTTTGATCAAAACGGATATTCAATGAACTCATATGACATTTACTAATTTCACAATTGGTATGTTCCCGTACGGAAGAATCTACTAGATTTTACTATTAGATTGGGGGAAAATCCATTAGTTTTTCGTCGAAAATGTCGATAAAATTGGAGAAATTATCGAAGTTGAATCGACCATAAAACCGTTTTAAACTATTTACACAAAGCTGGATTCAAAAAGAAGCTCGATGTTTGTGCCGCACCAATTAACAGAAAAAATCTGCGAAGCTTTGGCCAAACGGAATGATATAGACCAATTTCTCAAACGGATGGTGACTGGAGTTGAGAAATGGATCACATACGAAAACCCATTGAGAAAACGATCGTGGACAAAGAGGACTAACGGCCAGGAAGGTTCTGCTATGCATTTGGTGGGACTGGAAGGGGATTATTTATTATGAGTTTCTTCCATATGGCCGAACCCTAAATTCGTTCTCTACTGTCAACAATTGGAACGTTTGAAGATAGCAATTGACCAAAAACGGCCAGAATTTGACAACAAGAGAGGTGTCGTTCCACCAGGACAATGCTAGGCCCCACACACATCTACAGGGACTCGCCAGAAACTTCGGCAGCTTGGTTGGGAAGTTTTTATGCATCCGCCATACAGTCCGGACTTGGCACCAAGCGATTATCATATTTTTCTTGCATTGCAAAATTTGTTTAATGATAAAAATTTGATAAAAGCATTTGTAACAGAGGCAGGCTTAACTCTAGAAAATCGACTTTTCCACTAATTATGATTTGTTTTTTTCTTGTAAATATTTGAAAGCAGGACTTTATATCCGGTTCTACGAGAGGCATTTTAAAGGTTATAAAAATACCTCTCTCAAAATGGCAACAAACCATGCAAAAAATCGGTGCATATTTGGCCCAAATCGGACATTCCGATGCATGTTAAATAAAGTCCTAAAGTTCATATAAAAATAATCAATTTCTTTAGTAGATTCTTACAGTACGAGAACAGACCAAATGTTGATGTTCTAAATGGAGTGAACCAATAAATCCCAAGTTTGGTAAACATTTCACTATGATTTGCATCAAATCGGATACTCTATTTGCTAATATAAGATTTAGAAATTGTAAAAATGTTGGCATTTTGCGGGAAAGCTACCGAAAGGTTATAGATTTTTCAGAATGTGTGGCCACATCTAAAAGATATATGTTTAGTAAAACATATAAGGATGTGCAAAGTTTGAATCAAATCGGATTCTTGTTTCGCATGACACGTTCTGTTTTCAGCAATAGTTCAATTATTGTGCAGAGAAGGTATCGATATTCCTCAACTTCGAACTTCTATGAAGAAAGAAAATAGAACGATGTGCAAGTTCAGAAATGGTCAAAATGTTGTCATTTTGCAGGAAAGCTACTAGAGAAGTTGATCGACGGTGTAAAAATGTATTAAAATAAATAGATATTTTAGAATGTGTGACCACGTCTATAAGATATATGTTTAGTAAAACATATTAGCATGTGCAAAGTTTGAATCAAATCAGATTCTTGTTTCGCATGACACGTTCTGTTTTCAGGAATAGGTAGAGACATTTTGAACTTTGTAGTCTTCCACAACAATCCCGAATAACACAGAATGTTAGGTTCCCTTAAACGAAATTTACCTTGTCTTATGGTTTAAATAGTAAATGAATTTATTAAAATTCGGTCGTTGCGAGGTACCCCCTGATATCAAAACTATTTGTAGCATTTTTTGTGAAACCACAATGATCTATTTTCAGGAATAATTACTTTTTTTCTTCCAGTATAAATAAATATCCCACTAGAAACGGTGTATCACTCATTTATTTATATAATTTCGATTTGTTTATTCTTAAATATAAATTACCACTTCATATTTTTGTTCTTCTGTTAAAAAAGTCTAGTCCGATCAAACAGTTCACGTTAGTTGGTCGGTCGATCGGTCGGTGTATCGGATAAAATACCACATACCTTAGCATTATTACAAAGTAAAACAATTAATTGTTGTTTTTGTAGAATATAATATATATGTATGTATTTATTTGTTTATTTCTCAAAATACAAAAAATGATTGTTTGTTGTTTAATACTAAAATACATTTCATATGAATACACATACACACAGATTTCAGAATTAATAACCAACCACAATAAACGAAAGAAAAAATAAAACATAAAAGTTTTAAATAAAATAAATGTATATTCTTATATATTGGTTTTTTATACACAATAACTAAAACAAGAAGGCGAAGAAGACGAGAAAAAGATAAATTAAAGTTCAGTGTTCAATAACCTGTTGTGATTTTTTTGATTCAAATCGGTTTCTCAGAGCATTAGAATAATGAACTAATAAAAAAGTTGTTGCTTATTATTGTCTAATTGGATTTAATTTTGATTAAACAAAACGTTTTTAACAAAGTGATACATTTAGTAATTGAAACGACTTATATATTACCAATTTATTTGGTTACTAATTTGCAAAGTTTTCAAATTAATAAATTGGAAATAAGCATTTTAAAACTTAGTAATAAAGTAGAAAGAAGATCAAGAAAAGAGAATATTTTTTACGATAATAATAAAAATTAAAAAATAAAAACTCATTTACAAAATAAAAAACATGTGATCTATTAAATTGTTTGTGTTTTACACTAATTTTTAATTTTTTTAACGCAACGCATAAAAAAACAATATACGAAAGTTCTACTCTCTAACTATGTATTTCACTCGCGGCCTATAAATAATTCCACAATTAATAAGGATTAACTGCTGCTAGACCCACACGACCAGCTGATCGTGAAAATACCGGTTCAGCATAACTATGACGATAACCTTTTGCCATGCTCGATATGCCGCCACCACCACCTCCGACACTGCTGCTACCTTTGCCACCATGTTGCGCCGCTGATGTTGGCATACCCAAACCACTGCCGGGTGGCGAAACTTTACCATTGGCTGGTGCTGGATAATGTGATGATTCGATGCGCTGTTGATGACCTCTTTCCGGTGTGTAATCACGCCTGCTGGAATATTCCCGTGAATGATCACGTATACGCTCCTCACGATAACGTGCCGATTGTGGTGGCATTTCATCACGATAACGTGATGAAGGTGGTGGAATATCATCTCGGTATTCACCACTATCCAAGCGATTACGTGATTCACCCCGTTTGGAAGATGGATCCCGATTACGAGTATCGCCACGCATGTGACCACCACGTCCTCCCACCTCTAGGTGTGGTAAGACCTGTTGTGGTGCTGCCTTTGATCTACCATGATCCAACCATTGATCACGTGATCGGGAACGTGAACGAAACTCTGGTGGTGGACTATCATATACATGCTCCTCATCACTCCAATCGTCATAGGGTCGTGTTGTGTGTTCCGGTGTAGTGGAAGGACCCCTTTGACGGGATTTATATTCTAGGGGTTCTTTTTCATCGGGCATATCATAACCTGATCTTCCCGACCTTTCCATGGAACGGAATTTATCCTTGGCATCTTTGAAACGATCCTTGTTCGAGGAGCTTTCATATTCAGCACGAACTGCCGACCTGTGGCCATGGGCAGGATAGCCATTGTTATAACTGAAATCAGGGTCCTCATCGTGATGTGAATGGGTTTTGCTGCGTTGACTCAGTTTACTCTGCAGAGGTTCCTTTGACCGTGGTACATTTATATCGGCACTGTTATCGTACGATTTATAACGCATGGCAGTGGACTTCATTAGTTTCTCCATACTTTCAATGTAGGGAATACTTTCCGGTTCCCTGTAGGGGTTACGTTCTTTGCTGCGTGACAAATGTTCCCTATCGCCACGTGATGAATGATGTTCTGGTTCAGGATCACGTTCATGTGAACGATGTCTTAATCTTTCGGTCTCACGACGTTCATGGGTTCTGGCACCAGGACGTTCGGCAGTACGATGACTTAATTCAGAGTGTTCGGGTGAATTGGATTCACGATGATAGGAGTTACCATATTTTCCGGAACTGCTGGTATTTTGTTCAAATGGTAAATCAGCCGGGTCAACATAACGGTGTTTGCCACCATAACGTTGGACCTCTTCATGGGCATAACTTTTTGTTGGCAATGGCTTAGATTTGCTGGAATATTCAATGTATTTTTGTTTATCGGTTAGATTCTCCTTGCGATGATAACTGGAATGTCCGAGGGGTAATGGACCATCAGCATCATCAATGTAATCATCGAGATTTTTGCTTGATTTTGATTTAAAACGTTGCTCAGCTGATTCCACATGATTAAGATAGGCATTTTTACGATCTTCGTGTAGCTTGGATCGGCCCTTATCTTCGTGAGCGAATTGTTGTTCACTTTGTAAAACTCGATTAATTTTCGAATCATAATTTGTGGGTCTAACAATGATGGGTTTAATTTCATCTTCGCGGCACCATGAATTGGAAGCTGGAGTTTTTGAACGATTTACATCTCGTTCAATAATGGGCACCTTTTCGGGTTTAGTGGCAGCAGCACTGCGTGGTGTATATGGCTTGGCAGGCAAATCTCTCAGATAGCCATCATCCCGTGGGTGTACAGCATTTTTGCGTGACAAATTTACATGATGTTGACTTATTGGGGCCGAACGTTCCATTGCTATTTGTGATGGTTTCAGGGCTATGACTGAATTGTCGGCTTCATTGCTCCAGTGGTCGTCGTCTGCAAAAATGAAGTGGAAACAGATAAGTAAAGAATTATGGCATTGGAGGTTGGAATATAGATACGTAAAGTTTTTTAGATGTCTTTGGATTGGAAAAATATAGATCTATCTGATTCTGACCTCCTCTTGGGAGGTAGTCAGACTCTGAAAACGTCAAAACTGAATGCAGATTGCTGTGTCTGAATTGCAAAATTTAAAATTTTGAAGGGGCAAAGAGTTTTTTCCTTAAGGTTCCCACACACTGCATATCACTCTATCCTGCTGATGCAGAGTTTGACCTTTACAAGTCAATCTCAAGCATACTTAAATGGATTAATCAGCAGGATAGCGCATTCTTTTTTGATGGAAAAACTGTGTGGCCTTTTGAGATGCAAAATGTGAACGGTCGCAAAATTTGGCCGCACTGTAATTCCAACCTTTTAGTGCGAACACCCCTCAAAAAGATCTTTTCACATTTAACTCCCCAAAGTGAAACACCTTACTTACCACTTGAACTATTTATGTCCTGACGTTCGGGACTAGGTGCCAAATCCGAGCCAATACCAGAAGAACCGCGTGATGAAACCTGTTTACCACCACCGCCAACATTGCTACCCGCCGATATATTTGGCGATGCAGCCGGTCTGTCACTGCCAACAATCAACGAATTACGGCATCTACGCAATTCGATAGCTGCCAGATTACCCTTAGATCTATGCACCGTATCATAATCTCTTGGTGGCAACAACAACGGTGGACCATTGCCATTCAATTTGGCACGCAATTCTGCTGCCAATGAATCAAATAGTTCGTTGTTTTGGGCCGGTAAAGGCAATGGAGGCTTGATGCCTGATGGTGAACGTGACATTGGAGAATTGCCATTTATATCATCACTACCCTCCGATTCACGAGTACTATTGCCCGTATCGCTACCCATGGAGGAGAGTAGGCGTTTGGGTGGTGCTTCATGTCGTGATCTGGAATGTTGTTGTTGTGAATGATGTTGTGCTGATTCCTTTTTGTTGTTGTGCAACAAATCATCATGACTGGAATTTTTGGCCGCGGGCATGCCCGGGATGATGCCCAATCTGGAAGAGAGAGGAGTGCATTAGAAAACCAAGACAAAGAACTGATTGTTTGAAATTCATACCTTGATTCCAGTTCTTCAAAACGTTTTTGATTTTCGGGACGATTTATTAAAATCTGCAGCTGTTGATTTAGAGCCTCGGCTGTGGTTTCCGAATCACAGCGATAGGCATGTACATGCAGTGGACACTTGGTTATGGGGTTATATAGCAACAATACGCAGGCGACTATATCATCTGTCTGAACCGAACTGGTTATGGCACTGTGTGGTATAAAATGTTTGGAAGAGCCCTGTCAAAAACGAAAGATAATGAATTATCGGGATTCAGTTTGAATGTTAAAGTATGTTTTTTCTATTGACCTTACCTGTATAATTTTAATTCCTTTATGTGATACTTGTAGGGTTACTTTAATGGGTTCCTGTGACCGTGATCTATCTATCAGATACGGCAGCACGGAATTTATGACTCGATTTCCACGTAAGCCTTTGGCTTCTTCTGCTCCTAGAAACCAGACATAGTATGAAGCCTTCTGGACATCTCGACGCAATCGTAGCGCCATTTTGTTGTATTTACTGTTAGACGAGAAATTTCGTTGTTGTTTCGGAAATGTTTAGCTGTAAAAAGAGAGGAAGAATAAGACACAAAATTACTATGAATATTGAAAAGTGAAATTTAAGAAGAATACAAATTCATGCAACCAACTTCTTCCGGTCCTAACATTCTAAATGAAAATCAATCAATGATGACTACGCAAGCAAGTCCATCACAACTATGTTTTGAATTTAAAAATTCCGTTTTGTTGTAATAGTGAAAACGTGCTCTAAAAACTTTCTCATATTACAGCGACGCACAAACATCCTCGTTGCAGATCGTGAATTTGTTACGTCTGAATGAAACATTGCCAGAAGTAGGGTTTCGCATATTTTATGTAGAGTTTTTGTTGTTGTTTTTAGTTTTTGATTAGGTTGGTTTGGTTTGCCATGCTTTTCATTTTCTTTAAATTTTAATTTTATAGTCGGTCGAATCGGATATTAAAAGTGTGCCACCAACCATGGCATTGCTGGCAAATGGAAATCGAGGTGCAGTACACCAAAGTGCAGTGTCGTCGTCGGCGACGTGTGCAATCTGGCAATGCATATCGTAATATTAAACACAAAGTAATAATTTTTATTTGAGGTGTTATGGTTTTTGATTTTGAAGTTGGTGTGTATTGGGGTGGCAAGGGAAAATTATTTTTTACATAAAAAATAATTAAATTAGTTGTATTTTTTTATTCTGAAACAAAATTCAAAATTTAGTTTTCCAATAGGAAATAAATCTAAAAAATACTCTATGGTCGGAGAAGAATCTCGAAGAACAAACATTGAAATGTGTTTATGTGTCCAAATTTAAAATAGGTGAAGAGTAAAAAATTTACATGATTAAAAATCATTAGATTTTTATCTGATCTCCGTCGATAAATACTGCAGCGTATATGTAGGGGTGGTGAGGAAAAAAATTAATGCCTCAAAAAATAAAAAAATGTCCAAATTGAAAATTTTTTCATTAAAAACCAATTTTGGATTCAGGACTGAGGATTGTTTATAGATGTATATTAGTGTGGTGTGGAAAGATATGTTGCTCTATAAAAATTCTTCTGTGAAGAAATTGCCTCATTAAGCGAGAATTTATTTAGTTTCTTTGAATAAAATAATATATTTAAATATTTAATAAATAATAAATATTTATTGAAAAAAGACGGATTTCAGTTCAAGTAGTATTTTTTATAGATGTCTAAGTATTAATATTGGGGTGGGGAGAAAAAATATTTATTTCCAACTAACTGAACTAATTGAAGTTCTTTCTAAAATCAGTTTAATGAGAATTTTTATAGATAAATATTAGGGTGGGGAGGTAAAATACTTTTGTTTTTTGTTTAGAAAAAATAACTTAGTTGTATAGAAAAAATATTTTTTTATTAGCTATGCTGAAAAGTGGGAAATGTGCAAAATTTAGAAACACAAACTGGCATCAGTAAAGTGATAATTTTGGTCATGGTCAATATTAGTTTGTAGAGGAAAAAGTACATTTTTGGCATAAAATAAAATTTCTATTGAGTTGTTATTTTTTCCTTTAGAGGAAAAAATCAGATCGCAATTAATCGAAGAATAATTTTCTATAAATAGCCATGTATTAGGGTGGGAAGAAAAAACTTTTTTTGAATATTTCGGAGAAGAATTTCTACTACTTTAAGAAAAGTATTTGTTGTTTTCTACCCTAATATTGACACTATGAATTACAAATCGAAATATCATGAAATATAACGTTAGGTTCGGTCGAGCCGAACTTTTTGTAACCTTGAAGGAAAGTAGGACAAGGACATTTAAAAAAACTACGTTAGAATTTTCATCTGATAACCTGAAACGCGAAATAACAACCACTATGCGAAAAATGCGACTAGGACGTTCTAAACATCTAAAACGGGATGGGGTCGCTATGTACGATTGCAGTTCGGAAAGTTCTTAGCCTAGCACGACAAATGCGATATTAACAGAAAAAAGTTAAGTATTTTGGAAACTTCCATCTCTGTTATGAACACATGTTAAATTTTGCTTCGATCTGGCAACTCCTTCGTATAGAAACAGGTTTTTAAAAAAGACGCAACCGGAATTTTTTACAATCGAAAAATTAGAAATGCGTGCTCAAGATCTATTAATAAGGCCACCCAGCTAGCGAAAGTCAGCTAGTGTCAAAAATTTGTCTTTTGTTTACGTTTTCATTATGGAAGTCAATTCACAATAACGGATTTTGACAGCAAACTTAAGGGGCAGCTGATATCCAGCTGGTCTCCCTGACGACCTTATTAATAGGCCATGTGCGTGATTTCATTGTAATAAAATTGCGGATCCGTCTTTTTTCAACACCTGTTTCTACATGGAGGAGTTGCCAGATGAAAACAAAATTTAAAATATGTATATAATCTGTTTATACCGCGTTGTGATGGGCTAAGAACTTTAGGTGGTATGTGATTGTGCTAGGCTAAGAACTTTAGCTTGTATGCGAAAAGTTCGACCTATATTGAATATTTCCAGCAGGGAGATTTTCTACCAATTAAAAACACACAACCCAAAAATTGAAAATCAGAAATGACAAATTACAGTTAAATCGCCGGCAGCTAGAACCTTAAAATATATAAAATATTAGTGGTTATGAAAATATATTTCAAGATACTTATAATAGGACAGAATTTTAATACTAATTTTCATCTATAAGAAAGAAATCGACTTCGATTGGGGAAATTCGGTCTGGTTAATGGTTTTGGCTGAATTTCTCCATAGAAGTCGAAGACACTTAAAATGGAGTGGTACCTCTTTGTCAAAACATGAACCTTGACCAATTTTTTGCGTGAAACTCCGTTAACAATGAGGCCCCTAAACTATAGTCTCTTCGGTTTAAAAAATTAGCTGGACAAACATTAAAATAGTTATGACCCTAAAGATACTAATAATCGGGCGATATTATTAATAATCATAATGCTAAGTTATATAAATTTGGACCCCCAAAGAACTTCGTTAGCGCTTAAAACACCTACACCTATTATTCACTATACTTAGGGACATAAAAAATTTATTTTCATGTGTCCTTTTAAGATATATTCCATTTTTTCATGAACTTTCTAGTTATTAGATATATTTGCGGTTTACCCTAATATACATTGCACCCAAAAAATAAGCAACAAATATATTTCATGTGCACTTTTTTTAAATTTGATTTCGTTCTTGATAATACTTTGTGGAGACATTTACCAGCATTGTTGTTGTTATGGCATATAGTACTTCGAAAAAATATTGTTGTTGTTACTTTTTTTTTGTCTTGGAAGTGGAGGTGGTGGTTGGAGTAACAATCAATTTGGTTAAATCTTTGCGGTTAAATGTTTAGTTTCGAAAAAAAGACTCAAAAATTACCATTTTACACATGCGCACTGACACAATTCGAACAATCTAACCAACTAACACACTTATTTACATACAGCTGACATTTGGGCTATATATGTGTGTATGTATGTGGTGTATTTGTTTAAAGGTTTCTAAGAAAACAAACTAAACGTGAACTAAACACACATAAATACATACATGCCTATATAAATAACTCTTTAAATGTGTTTATATGCTCATGAATTAATGATACACCCACTACAAACTGAAACCTCCACCCACCCCCCAACGTCCGCTTCAAAAACGACTTTAATGCGATCATTTAAAATTAACTGTAAAGAAGAAATTTCTTTCTTTATTTATCCGTCACGCTTACACACCCGCATACATACAACATTTCATTAATTGTCGCAATAACAAACAACAACAAAAAAATCGTGGAATACCTTAACAAAATATTTTAAAATTACTTTGATACGCAATGTAATATCCGAACGGTATTTTAACTTCCTAAAAAATTTTGAAAATCTTGAAAAAGAAAAACACAAAACTAAGTTATTAAATACTTTTATTAATGGGGCTTAGACAAATGTTTACTCTTCTTCTTAATTAGATTAGTTTGGCACGAGTTTACCGGAATTGTAAAGAACTGTTTTCAAATTACTGTACCTCTACTCCAACCTAATACCTCAAGAGACCATAAAGCATTACTATCTTGCCGCAGAGAAGTCTGGGTTGATAGATTTGGTGACGCGAGGAAGGTGCTTATGTTAAAGACAAATCCCTATGATACCACAGGTCATATGTGGAAAGATCATCTCTAAAAAATGATACATAATTTTCAAAATTAGGCACTAGTGTTTTTCAAAATGCATAGGGTATATCTACCTTTCTCTTTATTATGGCCTTCACTTATTCGATATATTAGAAGGATTTGTTAGCCAATTTGAGAAGCGCCACTGTACCTACTTCGGAAAAGGAGACCACCAAACCGATGCTGGACGGACCAGTCGGCTATAGGACCTCAGTAAAATGGAGGTTGAAAGTTCTGCAACTTATACCAATTTACATTAAGTTCGCGAGGTCACTAAAAGTTCACAGGGTTACTGCAAGTTTTACAGAACTCTATCAGTTCGTGAATAAAGCTGATAAACTCATAGTTCGCTATGAGTTTATCAGCTTTATCGAGGTTCACCAGCTCATTATAAGTGTGTTTTTAACCTTTATTTTATATTTTAGGCTTTATGGAGGTTAACATGTGAGTCTAATCAAAAACCTTTCATTCCCCAACTCTTCTGTAATCATGTTGCAGATTATTATTAGCTCACCAAGTTAATAACGACCATCGGCCCACATCATGTTCAGAAGTTTATGATAAGTTCACCCACTGGATTTCCCCCAACCCGTTAGGAGTTGTGCAGCTCATCCCAATTTACTATAAGTTCGCGAGTTCATTATAAGTTCTCAGGGTTACTGCAAGTTCTACAGAACACTATGAGTTCATGGGTATGGGTTCATCAGCTCACTTTGAGTTCCGCAGTTACATCAGTTAAGTATAAGTTCCCGAGGTTCACCGGTTTATTTTGAGTTCACCAGTTTACTGTGAATTCGTCATCTTACAAAAAATTCGCATGTTTACTGTGAGTTCGCCAGCCTTCTATGGATTCAACAGTTCACTATAAGTTCGCCAGTTCACTATGAGTTCAACAACATAAACAAAATGCTCATGTTTACTATAACTATAAGTTCGCCAGCCCAGTTCACTATAAGTTTACCAGTTTACTGTGAGTTCGACATCTTACAAAAAGTTCGCATGTTTACTGTGAGTTCGCTAACTCATTATGAGTTCGCCAGATCACTATAAGTTCGCCCGCCAACTATTGGTTCAACAGTTTACTATAAGTTCGCCAGTTCACTATGAGTTCAACAACATACACAAAATTCTCATATCTACTAAGTTTGCCTTTTCACTATGAGTTCAACAACTTACAAAAAGTTCACATGTTTACCATGAGTTTGTCAGATCACTATAAGTTCTGCAGTTTTATCCTTTAACAAAAAGTTGGCGAGGTTCACCAGCTCATTATGAGTTCACCAAATCATTATAAGTTTGCCAGTTCAATATGTGTTTACCAGTTCACTATAACTTCGATAGTTCACTATGAATTTTACAGTTCATTATGAGTTCAAAAACTTAAAAAATGTTCAAATGTTTACTATGTGTTCGCTAGCTCACTATAAGTTCGACAACTCAGTATTAGTTCACTTTGAGTTCTCTAGCTCCCTTTGAGTTCACCAGCTCAATATGAGTCCACCAGCTCATTTTAAGTTTACAAGTCTACAATTTAACCAGCTCACTGTGAATAAATCCGTTCATTATGAGTTCAAAAGCTCCCAATGAGTTCGCCAGCTCAATATGAGTTCACCAGCTCAGAGTTCATAAGCTCACTATAAATTCCCCAGCTCACTATGAGTTTACTCTTCACTATAAGTTCAGAACATCACTCTGCGTTCCAGAGTCTAGCAACTCACAATAAAATAATTCAATAGTCCACTATTTGTTCACTGGCTCTTTATGAGTTCATCAGATCACTGTCAGTTCATTAGCTCACCATCATTTCCCAACTCACTATTAGTTCGTCAGGTCATTTCATAGCACTTCCACATATATTAAACAACATAGCATACGTTTCCTAGTTCGCGATAGGTTCGGTAGTTCCTCAGTCCTCTAAAAGCTTGACATACACCAATTACTTCAATAGCTCATCTGGAGTTCAGAACAACATTACAATTTTTTTCCGGTGACTTAATGTGTCAGAGGTCCTATAAAATCAATTTTTTACCCTAAATGTCTTTCAGTGTAGTTTAATTTATAACAAAATTTGATTTCTCTTCAAATCACTATCAAAAAAACAAATGAGCAAATTTTAGTTTCGACGAAAACAGAACAAATATTCATGAAATTCAAGGGTTTACAAAAACAAGGAGAACGAACAACGAACCTGATAAGATAACATTATAAACAATCACACAGGCATACGCACACATTCACCTGTACAAATCAACTTCATATCTTAAAGAGTATTGATAGAATTCTAACGAACAACAATTTTAGTTCCCCTTTAGCTGTCTAACCTGCCGATAGCTAGTATTAGTTAGTGCTACTGCAACGGGTCAACAAAATGGACGAATCCGATTTTTCATTTGGTATAAAATCCAGCAAAAAGAAACATGACAAAGCCGATGCAACAAGTTGCAGTTCCAACAACAACAGCAACAACAACACACAATACAATACAGAGGGCCATCATGACGATTCGGCGAAAAAGGAAATATTCTCAATAGCCACGGATGAGGATGAATATCGTAACGATAACCCGTATACGGGGATTGCATTGATTTTCAATCACAAAGATGTTAAGGGCCAGAAGCCGCGTGCCGGCACTGAAAAAGACAGAGATGATATGCAAAATACCCTATTGAAGTTCGGCTTTGATGTACGGGTCTATGATGATTTGACCTTTGCGGAAGTTAGTGAAAAATTGAAAGCAAGTAAGTAGCGATCATTGATGATTAATAATTTTATTCTTTCTCTCCTTTTTTACCAAAAAAACCCGTGCTCTTTTAATCGATTGTTATGAGAGATCGGTTCCTCATTGTTCCCTCTCTGCCTTAGCCAATTTGAAATATATTTGTTTTCTTATCAGAATTTTTGTTTTTCCCGTTGGTACACTCATAATTGTGTTGTTTGAAAACAAAGCCAATTTTTTGTACCCGGAGGGGGTTTTGTTATCTATCGATATATACATATTGTGATTCGTTTGGCCTAACAACGTTTGTTTGCCGACAAATCGGCGGTATCACTGACACATAAACAAAAACTATACTCTCCTTATCTTCCTATTGTCAGTCAAAACAAATGCATGGACATTACAAAAAATGTATTGGAATTGTTGTTGTATTTCAAGATATCTCTTGGGTGGGATTAGTAAAAAAGATCGATTGTAATGAAACGGTAGTCATTGCGGTTCCAGAATATATGATTTTTTTTGGGAAAATACGACAATATGTGAAATCAGTAATTAGGTTCACAATAATTTCACCAGAAGTTCGGCAGTTTACTAAGTATGAGTTATCTAGATCACTATAAGTTCGTCAGTTTACTATGAGTTCTCCACCTCACTATAAATTCGCCAGCTCACCATAAGTTCGTTAAGTTCTCCACCTCACTATGAGTTGTTCAGTTCCCTAAAACTTAGCATGTTCGCCAAAAGTTTCATAGTTCACTAAGATTGAGTTCAACAGATAATTTGCCTCACATTAAGTTTGTCAGATCAACACAATAATTTCGTCAGTTCACTATGAGTTCGTCATCTTACTTTGAGTTCACAAGTTTACTATGAGCTAGCTCACTACGAGTTCGTCAGTTCACTATAAGTTCCGTAGCTCACTATGAGATCGTTACTTCGCTACGAGTTATCCAGCCAGTTCACTATAAGTTCGCCAGATCACTATAAGTTTTCTAGCTCACTATGAGTTCTCCAGCTCATTATAAGTTCTCCAGTTCACTAAAACTTCGTATGTTCGCCAAAAAAATTCCATAATTTATTATGATTGAATCTACCAGAAAAGTTTGCCAGCTCATTATAAGTTTGTCAGTTCAATATAAGTTCGTCAGTTCACTATGAGTTCGCCAGTTCACTATAAGTTCCGTAGCTCACTATGAGATCGTTACTTCGCTACGAGTTATCCAGCCAGTTCACTATAAGTTCTCCAAATCACTATAAGTTTTCTAGCTCACTATGAGTTCTCCAGCTCACTATAAGATCTCCAGTTCATTAAAACTTCGTATGTTCGCCAAAAAAATTCCATAATTTACTATGATTGAATCTACCAGAAAAGTTTGCTAGCTTGTTTGTCAGTTCAATATAAGTTCGTCAGTTCACTATGAGTTCGCCAGCTCACTATGAGTTCACTATGTGTTCACCAGCTCACTACGAGTTCCCCAGCTATGAGTTCGCCAACAAAATATAAGTTTGTCAGTTCACTATAAGTTCGTAACTTCGCTACGAGTTATCCAGCTTACTATGAGTTCGCCAGCTCACTATGAGTTCGACAGATCACTATGAGTTCGCCAGTTCACTATGTGTTCGCCAGCTCACTATGGGTTCGCCAGCTAAATATAAGTTCGTCTGTTCACTATAAATTCGCCAGATAAATATGAGATCCCCAGCTCACTATAAATTCGTCAATTCACGATTAGTTCCCAAGATTTATATAATAAAGCTCACTATATTCGTTCGGCAAGCTCATTGTAAGTTCGTCAGGCTTCCTTGAATTCGCCAGTTCACTATAAATTCGTCAGCTCACTACAAGTTCGATAGAGGACCTTCGGAGGAGGCCATTAACTCTTATGCTTTGCAGAGAACTCTAATCTCGCCAGGTGGCTACAACTTGAGTTCTCTAGATCATTATGAGATCGTCAGCTTGCTATAAGTTCGCTCACTATAGGTCCTCTCTTTTCCTGAATTTTCTTATATCTCATTTTTCTATAATTTCAGCTTCCCAAGAAGATCACAGTCAAAATGATTGTCTTGTGGTGGTGGTAATGTCCCATGGGCTGGAAGGCAAGGTATATGCTCGAGATATGAGCTATCCCGTGGAACGTTTGTGGAACCCATTTTTGGGTCAGAATTGTAAATCGTTAATCAATAAACCCAAATTGTTCTTTATACAGGTAATTATATAATTTTACAATGCCTCCTGATAAGCTATCAACCTTCTCATAATTTCCCCTCCCCCTCGCTTTAGGCATGTCGTGGAGAGAACTTAGAAAAGGCTGTTACCTATACAACAGAATTTGCACCCATGTCACGGGCTTTGGATGCCACGCCCGCCAAACCACCAACCATAACTTATGCCATACCCAATACGGCGGATATTTTGGTTATGTATTCGACATTTGAAAGTAAGCGAGATGATTATTTCCAATTCCTCTTCTTCTACTGAAACCGTATTTCTTTCTTCCAGAATTCTATTCATTCCGCAATGTGGAAAGTGGTTCCTGGTTCATACAAACTGTTTGTGAGGTATTCAATCGTGCCGCCAAAACTGATGCTATCACCGAACAAGGTGCAGAATTGTTGAAGCTGCTGACAACTGTCAACCGCATGGTGGCCTATGAATATCAATCGAATGCCCGCCTAGAGGCATTCAATCAAATGAAAGAGATGCCAAATTTTATGTCGACTCTGACAAAAACCTTCTATTTGCGTGTCAAGAAGCCGAGACAATGAATAAGAGGACTAACTGGGGGATGTACCAAAAAAAAATCACAAAAAAATTTAAATTTAAAAAATGAGTCACTTAGCGTTAAAAAAATACATTAAAATTAAATTACGAATAGAACAAAAACAACAAAAAGAAAAAAAAAACAAATATATTTAGAACAAGAAAATACATTTTAATAGAAGTCTGCATACTTTGTAGTTGTTGGTGTTGTGCTGTTATCTATTTATTAATATTGTTGGCCCATAAAAAAGTGTTATTGTTATCTGGACATAAGATTTATTAACAACAACAAAAAGAGCATTACCAGCCACCTGTTATACTCAAAGAGTCGAAAGGGAGGGTGATGACAGGAGGAACGCTAATTTCAATAACATTAGAAATTTGATATTCATAGACCTAGTCATAATAAGTTATTAAAATTCAGTTGTACAACCCATTATAATTTCGATTGTCCTCTTTAAGTTCACCTGAGGCCAACATAAAATCGACAACTCATAAGTTCGACAGATCAATAAAATAGTTCGCTAATTATCATAAGTTTTAGCTCACAATAAGTTCATCAGTTTCATATAAATTCGCCGGCTCACTATAAGTTCATCAGCACATTATGAGTTCGTCAGTTCACTATAACTTCGCTATGTCACTATAAGTTCTCCAGCTTACTATGAGTTCGCCAGGCCACGATATGTACGCCTGCTCACTATAAGTTCGCCAGCTTACTATAAGTTTGCAGCTTACTGCAAGTTCGCCATCTTACTATAAGTTCGCCATCTTACTATAAGTTCTCCAACTCACTATATGTTCACTAGCTTGCTATTAGTTCACTAGCTCATTATAAGTTCGACAGCTCACTATAAGTTTACCAGCTCCTTATAATTTCGCCAGCTCACTATAATTTCGCCAGCTCACTATAAGTTCGCCAGCTCACTACAATTTCACCTGCTCCTTATATGTTCGACAGCTCATTATAAGTTCGACAGCTTACTATAAGTTCGCCAGTTCACTATAAGTTCGCTAGCTCACTATAAGTTCTCCAGCTTACTATTAGTTCGCCAGCTCACTATAAATTCACCAGCTCACTATAAATTCGCCAGCTCACCATAAGCCCACGATATGTTCGCCAGCTTACTATGAGTTCGCCAGTTTACTATAAGTTCGCCAACTCACTACAATTTCACCTGCTCCTTATAAGTTCGACAGCTCATTATAAGTTCGACAGCTTACTATAAGTTCGCCAGATCACTATAAGTTCGCTAGCTCACTATAAGTTCTCCAGCTTACTATTAGTTTGCCAGCTCACTATAAATTCACCAGCTCACTATAAATTCGCCAGCTCACTATAAATTCGCCAGCTCACTATAAATTCGCCAGCTCACTATATGCTCACTAGCTTAAACTCTCCAGTTCACTATAAGTTCTCCAGCTTACTATGAGTTCACCAGATCACTACAGTTTTTCCAGCTTGCTAAAGTTCATCAGTTCGCTTTACATTCGCCAGCTCATTATAAAGCCGTCAGACAACTATAAGTACATATAGTCCGAACAGGAACCCCGAGAAAGCAAAATGCAAAATAACAACCAGCTTGCTTGGAAAACAGGGTCGGACCTTCATGGACATATAAAAAACTTAAAACTTAAATTTCGATCTGAATACCGATAATGCCAAATTGCATCTAGTTTGACTGGAGAAGTCCGGCTAGGATTTTAAAAATGTTCTAAATTGACTGGGAACCTAATATGGATCTAGTTCCAAAAATGTTCAGTAGGGATTTTTTATCTTTAAAACGGCAAAATGCCGATTAAGGGGACCCCCCCCCATTCTCGGGGTCAAAATTTTTGTTGATCAGTAGGGATTTTTTATCTTTAAAACGGCAAAATGCCGATTAAATGCGAATTTGGGGTTTCAGACTTCAAATTAGGAAAATAGGGGTAGAAGCATCAAAATAGATAGAATCGTTCGGTTATCTACATGGGACAATATCGAAAAATATACCCCAATTACCTTTAAAAATATTTTAAAAGAATCCACGCCTATCTGTTGGGTATCTTAAAAAATATTTTAAAAGAATCCACACCTATCTGTTAGCTACCTTAATAAAACAGTTTAAAAAATCCACGCCTATCTGTTGGCTACCTTAAAAAACATTTTAAAAAATCCATGCCTATCTGTTGGCCACCTTAACTAAATATTTTAAAATAATCCACGCCTCTTTTGGGTATCTTGAAAGTCGATGGTCTTAAAAATAGCTAAAACTAGTGTACACCCTTACACATTTTCTGTTCGGAAGTTTTTAATTTTAATTCTTCTTTGAAAATTCGAAATTTCAAATTAAACCATTTTGGCTCGGAAAATAGGGCTATGATCTTTAAAATGTCTGAAATCGATTGGGACTTTATTTGGTCGCCATTCCAACTATTTCCAATTGGTGCATTCGGAAAAATACATTTAATTTTCTCTCTAACTTATGGTGGAGGTAATAAAAATAATTCGAAAACTTACTCGTCAATGAGAATAAACAAAATACCTAAACTCGCCCATAATTGGGCGCCATGTAGATATACGCTGACTCCGAAGCATATTTCGAAGTGGGGATTTCCAATTGGTGCATTTGGAAAAAATTCATTTAATTTTCTCTCTAACTTATGGTGGAGGTTATTAAATTAATTCGACAGCTCACTCGTCAATGATAATAAACAAAATACCTAAACTCGCCCATAATTGGGCGCCATGTATTTTTACACTGACTCAGAAACATATTTTGAACTACGGATTTCGACAGCACATTTTAAATTCTTTAACCCAACAACTGAGCCAATGAAGAATTTCAAACGCGGTCTAAGCTTTGGAAATTCCATTCATATTCCTGTTAAATTGTGACCTACTTTGCCGACTATAATAATCGGATCTGTAAACTGTTCCAAATTCAAATTTTGTTTATTTTCATTGCTTCAAAAAATTATAAATATTCCTGACATATTTAATATTCATTGAGCAATTTGGAGCGATCATTTATATAGCTCACTTTAAATATTCTCGTCGTTGTTGTTGTTGTTGGCCATATGATTATAATTAAATAGCGGTAGCAGCAATTGGAGCAGTCGACTAGACTAGACGTGTTTTGTTTTGCATTTTAGCAAAGAAAAAATCTCAACGATCCATAAAATTTGTTTTGCCCTCCCCAAGAAAGTAAGTGAAACAATGAAACCGACACCATCCGTCAGGTAAGTCACTCATTCATTCACTCATTCCGACCGAGATTCATTATTGTACACAATACGTCGGATGTAAATGCGATGTATGAAGAGAAATGACTGACTTGACTGCCTGAATTGTTTCGAGTTCTGGACATGCATGAAATGATATTTTCGTTCTGTTTCAAATTTCCCATTCAGATCATTTGGAGTGCGAGCTGACTAAGAACACGAGATGAATATGCATTAGAAGAAGATAGAATTGGCAAAAGAGGTAGTCAGCAAAAAAAAAGAACTTTCACATTTTTGCTGCTGCTGCTGTTGTTCGGCAAAACATTTGTTAACCCCAGAGGTGAGTGGCAATGGAATTTGGAAAAAATAATGGGTTATTGCAAAAAATATGTTTAAGAGAAATTACCCTCAATCTAACGTCTCTATTAGGTCGCTTAAAAATATATTTAAAATATTAGGACTCCTAAAAATGCACACATATATAATATTTATGCCCTTCATCACACTGTGGTACAGGGTATTATGTCTTTGTGCATATGTTTGTAACAGGTTCCTTTTGAGAATATGCCGTCCGTCCGTCCGTCTGTAGATGTTAAATTTTAAACAAAGTACAGGTCGCATTTATGATCCGATTTGGATGAAATTTGGCACAAGTCACTTATTTGGCCCAAGGACGAACCCTATTGAAATTTAAGAAAATCGTTTCAGATTAAAATATAGGTCCCGTATATAGTTTTGTCCGATTTAAGGTAAAAAGGGCACCAAAGTCCCTATGTATCATTCGATTTGCCCGAAATTTGGCACAGCGTAATGAATAAGGTCTAGAATGATATGTGCAAAGTTTCGTGAAAATCGGTTCAGATTAAGATATAGGTCCCGTATATAGTTTCGTCCGATTTAAGGTAAAAAGGGCACCAAAGTCCCTATATATCTTTCGATTTGCACAAAATTTGGCACAGCGTAATGAATAAGGTCTAGAATGATGTGTGCAAAGTTTCATGAAAATCGGTTCAAATTTAGATATAGCTCCCGTATATAGTTTCGTCCGATTTAAGGTAAATTGTGTACCAATGTTCCCATATGTCATTCGATTTGCAAGAAATTTGGCACAGCGCACTGAATTAGATCTAGAATGATGTGTGTCAAGTTTTGAGAAAATCAGGGTAATGAATAAGGGGCACCAAAGACCCTCTAGAAAATTTGGCATGTACTGCCAGAATGTGTGTGCCAAGTTTCGTGAAAATCAGTTCAGATTTAGATATAGCTCCCATATATAGTTTCGCCCGATTTTAGGAATTGGTGCACCAAAGTCCCTGGAAATCTTTTCATTTGCACGAATTTTGGGATAGCGTACTGAATTAAGTCTAGAATGATGTGTGCAAATTTTCGTGACAATCGGTCCAAATTTAGATATAGCTCCCATATATATTTGCATCCGATTTAAGGTAATTGGTGGACCAAAGACCCTATATATCTTTCGATTTGCACGAATTTTGGGATAGCGTACTTAATTAAGGCTAGAATGGCGTGTGCTAAGTTTAGTGAAAATCGGTTCAGATTTATATATAGCTCTCATATATATTTTCGTCCGATTTTAAGTAATTGGTGCACCAAAGTCCAGAATGATGTTGCTAAGCTTCGTGAAAAGATCCATAGCTAGGCTGATTGACACAACGTACTGAAGTAATATAAATTAGTCTGTGGCAAGTTTCCCTGAAATCGGTTCAGATATAGATATATAACAAACACGCGTCGTCTGTTAGGATACATATGTACAATATACTCAAAGTGGTGAAGGGTA